CATAACTATCTTCGAACGGAACTTGTTTATGGTATCCATGCCCACCGTCATTTTACATCAAATTTATGAAAATTTGGAAGTCTTTTCGAATTATTCTCAAGAAAATATTCTAATGGATTTCAAAATTTATATTGTAAATATACACACTGCAGTTATCCATAAATGAATAATATCAGATTATTACATGGCAATTTGCATATCCGATTTATTGTCAGCCCAAGGTACAATATCGTATCAACATGGCCGCACAACATATGATTGAGAGCTGATAATACATCTGATATGAAAAATGACATGTTATGATCTTTTTATCATATGCTTCAACAATGGAGAAAGATAACAGTTTAGTATATTGATCCTTTTAAGTGGTTCTCAAGTAGAAGTTCAAATAGTGAAAAAGTTTACGGACGACGGACGCCAAAATTATGTAATACATCCAATTTGAAATCTTTCTATCATATGCCTCAACAGAGGAGAAAAACAACAGTATAATGTATTTTTATATTGACAATAAAAAAAATCATTAAACATAAAGAATATTGTTTGGAAAAGTCAACATTTGTTAAGTAACTTGCTAAATTATGCTGGATACTTTGAAAAATGCATTTAATGTATAATTTATTTTGCATTTTACATAATATATTTTCCAGTTTCCTAATATTAATTTTGTTTTGTACCCTACTTTGTTATCACGGTTTTTCACTGAAAACGTATCATTGAGGTGTATTTTCCGGAATTTACCGAGTAACGTCGGAATGCCATGTGCGATAACGTTACGGAAAGGCATTCTATAATAGCCGGAAGAAGTTGATAAATTTTTCATTTCAGCCCGCTAAGCACCATTTCGGAAAATATGGAATCCACGTAAATTTAAGGCTATTATCATACTGTAAAAATTATAAGTTATTTACTCTAAGTATATGATTAAAAAAATATATTGTACCCCAACATCCAATCACAGCGCTCCTAAGTTGACTTCCTTCACCTGCCTTGGGTAAACAAAAGGCCAACCTAAAGCCGGGAAAATGTAATACTATTTTTTTTCCCTATAAAAGTTGATTTAGAATATACATATCAAGTTAAAAAAGAAAAGGAAATCGCATGAACTCCCAACAGATTGTGCATCGATATGGTAAGCGTATACAGTATTACATTTCTATACTTAAATGCCTCTTGCTTAAACGAGTTTTTATTATAACAGTATAAAATATTTACATTTTTAACAAATAATCAATATTTTTTCCAACTAACCGTATATATTTACAGCAACACAGAGTAGTGACTACAACAAAGATTCCAACAATTGACGCAACAATCCCAATAAATAAATCTACAAAATATAAACATAATTATGTACATAGTGATAGCTTTATGAAAGGAAGAAAAAAAAAACATAGAAGGGTTGCTTTTTTAGCTCACCTGGCACAAAGAGCCAGTTTGAGCTATTGTTCACTTGTTACAAAATTCATTCCATCTGAAGCTACTAGGACAATCTGAAGCAAACTTAGCCACATCATTCTTCTAGTTTAAATATTCTTGTGCGACTATTTCCTCTGTCAACAAACAGGGCCTCCAAAAAAAAAAAAAATGAACATATCTTGAAAACTTTTATGGATATTCAAAATATGACAGGGCAAATGTGTTTCAGAATTTCACGATATTGATGTGATTTTTAACCAAAATTGTCAGATGACTCCATATAGGAGTTATTGTTTTAGAGGAATATTTGCTTCTAACCTTGAAAATCATAATAGATAGAGGGAACTGTAAATAGCAAAAATGATCTGCAAAATAAGATCTAGAGATAGGTCAACATGGCAGAAATTGTTAGTCGACTCCATGTATGAATTATTGCAAATGCCATTTTTGAAGATAGAAACTTACTATGCGGTATGGGTTTTGCTCATTGTTGAACGCCTTTCAGTGACCTATAGTTTCTAACTTTTACGTCATTTGGTCTCTGGTGGACAGTTGTCTGTCTCATTGGGAATCATACACATCTTCTTATTTTTGTATAATATTTAGAGAGAAGCTGTAAATAGCAAAAATGATAAGCAAAATGGTCAACCATACATGCCCAAAATCGACATATGACTTCTTATAGATATTACATTTGTATTTTCCTTCGATAACGATATTGTTTGATATAAATTTTTGAAATTATTTAAATATGCAAAGGTCTGATTTGGCTATACTTTAGGTCCTTTTTGGTTTGATCCGCTCTTCAGCATTTGCATTTGCATTAGATTTACGATATTGAAATATTTTATCCTCGAGCATCACTGAAGAGAAATTAATTGTCGAAATGCGCATCTGGTGCATTAAAATTTGTACCATTTATGTTATTAAATATACCAAATAATAAAACTGACAAAAGCACCTCAGTCCACTTCTTATAGGAGTAATTGCCATCAAAATTAATAATGATTTTTGACCAATTTCAGTGTGTTTACCTAACATTTTAAAAAATATTAAAAATAGACTGAAACTTGAACATAAAAAATGATCAACAACACACGATCTACAAATACATGCAAGTCAATATGAATGAATTCATATCTTGTAGGAGTTGTTGCCCCATTATCACAATTTAAACACACTCTTTCTTATTTACTTATTATCTTGAGAAAAAAAAAAGAATAACAAAAAAATATTTCCAGAAGATTTAGATTTAAGATTAGTCCTTTCTCGCAGTATCTTACAATATATTATAATACGATGACAACTGCACTAAACTTATTCTATTTATAAGTGCAACCTATAAACCTACATTTGTATACTTGGATGTTCGTTTGTCACAAGATCACGACAATTTGATGATGAATTTTGACCGAAATCTCTTTGCTCGTGATAAATTAGAATATAAGCCATTCACTGTTATCTAGAACAGGCATATGTTATATGACAAAATAAATCTTTCGTGGATAATTATGTCGATATGTGTTCGTCACAGCCTTGTGTGGGAAATGGTAGTTTATTGGACTATTGTAGACTGTAAGAGACAGGCAATAACCATCATGCACAGCTTATACTCTTAACCAATTGAAATCTATTAACACTAATATTCCATTTGTATTAATAGATTTCAATTAGGTTAAGTCACAATTTTAATAAAAATTTCCAAGATAAAACGGATATATTTGTTAAATATATAATAGGCGTAATAGAAATTTCATTGTAGGGCTTCGGTGTTTCGTTCCAACCGAAGTTCCTCCTATTCCCACTTTTTAAAAATCACTATTCCTTCTATTCTCACATGCAAATAACAATAGATGTTTTGATAAATAATTTGTTTTTATAACAATCAATGTTAATTAAAAATTCACCTAAGATTTAACTGTATTTTGTAAAAGAAAAAAAATCATAATTTTATGCACTGTTTATTTGTAATATGTTATTTCTTCTTCAAAGATTTACTTATAAATAAAGAATAAGTCAGATAAATAGAAGTAAGATTAAAAAATCATTGAATTTGTAAACTTAAAAAAATTGTCATCCAAACAAATAAATTGATGATAGATAATATTATAACAAACTTTCCCATCTTGCAAGATTTCCATGTACAACAAGCGTACGAAGAACCTACCAGTTTTAACAAAAACTGTTCATGAAATCAACATAGATGGTAGTTGGGCACGTACTACCAAAGGTGGCCCATTCCTGCTAACAGATGACAACACAGTTGGGTGTATGTTAATCTTCAGTACTCAAAAGAATCTAACACACTTAGCAGCTGCAGACATCGTATATGGTGATGGTACATTCTACTCCTGTCCGAGCCTAATCTTCCAACTTTACACATTTCACGCAATGGTTGACGGCGCAATGTATCCACTGGTACACAGTTTACTTCCAGCCAAGAGCGAACTAGTATACACAAGGTTCCTGACTTTACTCAAAGATGTATGCCAACAACACCAACTACAATGCAACTTCAGCCTACCACTATTTTCCTGGACTATGAAGTCACCATCCAAAATGCAGCATATTCTGTATTTCCTGGCATCAACGTAAAAGGCTGTTTTCTCCACTACACACACTGCATGTGGAGAAAAGCACAAGAAACAGGGATTCAGGTTCCATACAAGGAAGACAACAACATTCATCAACTTGTACGCCGTGCCGCTGTCCTTCCACTTGTACCTACTGCTGAGGTCGAAGAAGTGTGGTTTAATGCCCTAACCGACATAGATCAGATTGTTACTAACATCAACTACACGCCCTTTACACACTATGTAGCAACATACTGGGTCGAACAGAACAGTCACCTTTTGGACCATTACACAACACAGGGACCGAGGACTACACATCATTTAGAGGGATGGCACAGCAAGCTGAAGAAACATTTCCAGCCCCACATCCAAACATCTTTAAACTCATAAAACTACTGAAGCATGAGGAAGCTTTCAAAACCCTGACCATAATGCAGTATGCAGCCGGTGGGAAGAGAGTGTCTCAAAAACGAAAGTATGTCGAAATCAACGACAAATAAGAAGAGCTTAAGGTTAGACACCGCAACTTGGAAGTCACAACAGTACAGTTTGGTGATGCAGCCTCCCACCTTCTTCACGTTGAATAGATTAATAAACTTTAATAGACTTATATACAGTGAATTTCTAATGTTTGTGCTACAATGTGTGATTTGTTTTAGTACTGTTTACTTGTATTGTTTGTTTCATATTATAATGCCTTCTTGAATCTACTGAATTTGTGTTATAACAGAAATAAAATAATTAACTTATATTTGTTTCCATTTTTTTCATATTTATTTTAATTAAAAACACAGAAATTATACACATACAAAAATTACCTATTACCTATCCAAAAAAACACTTGTCAATTAAAAGTTGATAAAACAATGTTTATACAATATAATCCTCTTTGTTTGCACAAGTTTTCCCCCTATTCCCACATGAAATTTTAACTTTTCTTAACAGTGGGAATAGGAAGAATGAACCCAAATACTTACGAAATACACTAGACAAGAAATGTGCTCATGACTACTTACCAAAATCAAAAAAATGCTGCATTATCTTTTCTGGAGTTAAGGATATAATATCCTGCGGTGAATGTAGAGCTAGAAAATTTTATAACATTAATTAAAAAATAATATACACTGAAGTAAGCTGCATGTTTTAGTGTTCTTGATCTAAGATGTTTAATAAGCGATTTTATGCAGCTGCTTCGTTTGGCAAATTCATACAGACAACACTGTACACATCTTATGAGAAAAGGTAGATTGAAGTAGTTTTAAAATTCGAAAACCGAATTCAACGGTCTGGGGGAAATAGTTCGAATTTGAATAAATTTCAAATCGAGTAACACATGGGTAATAAATGTCAAATTCTTGTTTTGGAATCATCAAAAATAGAAGTCTAATGTCATAACACGAAGCAAGAAAATCAACACTGATCGTAAGGGTCACCGATAATCATGTTTGACAGAAAATTATGGAGTATTCATACATCCTGCACAACCAATAAAAAATCCACACTATTTACAAACAAGGGGTGAATGGAAATCTTCTCATCAACTATTAATTAACCGTCGTATGTTGTGTACTCTTGTTTTTTGCCTTGTTCAAGGTTGTATAATGACCTCTACATATATATTTTATCATTTAGGAAGTAATGCCATACACGGTATTTACAAAATTTGTCAATTAATGTTTTCACTTGATGAGTAATATAATCTATAAACAATGTAACCAACCTGGACTACATAGAAACGGGTGATATTCATCGCATGGTTTGGCACGAATGGACCATTCATCATTTTTCTGTTCAAGAGATAAACATCCCGTTCTTCTTGGATCTATTTCTTCAGACCTTGGCAACACATCATTTACTCTCCTCCCTTAAGAGAAATGTATTCGTGTTAACATGAAAGATACAACTTCTTATTATGAATTCAATATAATGTGCGTTAGGTTATGTTATATAGATACAATGGATAAGCGTAGATTCTTGAAAAAGAAACCATGAGCCCGGAGGGCGAATGGTTTGTTTTTCATGAATCTACGCTTATCCATTGTATCTATAACTTAAACTATTGTGTTAATTTCTTTTCAAAATTAAAACCTTTTCTTAATTAGAAGGTATTGTAAGTGAGTTTAAATAACCATGTTATCGTGTCCAACGATGCATTGATAAATCTCAGATCACAATTAATTGGTTAACAAATACAAATATAACACTTCTACCTTTAAAGATCTTTATATTACCAGGCATATGAATATTATCTGTTTATACAAAATAAGACATATTCGAAATTATTTCTAATAAAATTGAAAATGGAAATGGGGAACGTGTCCAAGAGACAACAACCCGACCAAAAAGCATATATAAAGTATATATAATAAGTATGTTATCGAAATTTTTCTAGCACTCTAGGCACATCACGATTTTCTCGCATAGGAATTTGCGAACAAACCTTTGTAAAATTATGTAGTAAAACAGATGAAATCATACTATATTTATAAAACAAAAATTGACAAATAGAATGTAATCATTTTTGTTTCAAACATGTGAAATAGCCAATAATAATAAAAAAAAAACCGGTAAAACTCGCTATTATTACAAAAATATCCACTATAACTTGCAAAATTAGAAAAAAAACAGGATAACTTAAGAATTGGAACAACAGAGAGAATACAGGGATTCGAACCTAAACCGACAAATCCCGATCTTTAACTCATTGATTTTAACCATGCTAACCTCGCGGCTACCAACTCATACTATACGACTGCCTATTGTGTCTATATAAAGGTACAAGCCATGTGTGTCCGATGAACCGATGTATATCAGATGTTCATTTAAATATATATAATAAACATCTATAGTGTAACCCATTGGTAGCCGAGAGGTTTCGTTGGTGTGTTGATGTCAGTCACACATAACAGATTTCAAGGAAGGGTTCGATTCCCAGTGAAGGCATATAAAAATTACAAAAATTAAAGGTAAGTTTTTAAATTAATTCCATTAGTGAACAGAAATCAGTAAATTAGCCAATTCAAACTTAATGAAATTAGGCACACAAAGGAAACAATTGAATGTAATTTGGTGAGTCAATTTCAGCGGCAGATTTAGGAAGCGTTGATTCTAGAAAAAGAATCCACGGTAAATGAATAGGCTGACGTCACCACAATGGTTTAAATTGAATGAAAGAAAAGGACAAGGAATGTATTTCGTTTTCGAATTTCCTTTATTGAAAAACCTTTATTAAAGCAAAGCGTTTGGAAAGTCACAAACATCTTTACATGGAGAGTAAGAAAAAATAAAAGACATTAGAGGAAGAGTCAAAGCTGTTTACGGTCGCAATCACACATTGATTGATTGTCATTATGTATTGTGTGAAACAAATCATTGCAGATTTTTCCCCAATTGCGAATGACCTTTAAGTTCGTGTTGCACTATCCTCGGGGTAAGTTTGAGACGGAATGTTTTATTTGAACTTTTTTTTTATTTTTAATTTTGCAATGTCTTTGCATGTCCTTCTTTGATCTGTGATGTTATTGTCCCTTCGTATCTTATTTTTACTACAATAATCGACTTTGACTATTGAGCTAAACAATGAGTGTCGCCTGTAAGCAGGTTATTTTATCCTTTTACAACACATGATACCGTGTCCGCTTGTTTTTAAATATTATGTGTTCTTATTTGTCTTTCCTTGTTTAATCATACTGTCCCCTTCGTCTCATCCGTATACCTTCAATCTCCTTTTAACGCTGTTGGTCAGACATTTTTACTTGTCATTATTTTGTGCTAAAACCACAACACATCATATGCTTATCTATCTAAATGCAGGAAACTAGGACCATTGAGTAGTACATTGACTACTGGTTGATGTTATATACGGAAACTAACATTTCTTTCTTATAGGAAGTTATCCTGTTATAGGATATTTAAACCATTTACACATAGAATTTGCAACTTTGGAGACACCCATCGTAGTAAATCTATACAAGTTGAGTCAAAAGTAAAAATAAAGTTTCCTTTGAGGAAAGATGATTGTATCAAAGTATATGGATTAACCCACGACCCAATTTTGAAATCACTGACTACTTCAGGGGATTAACAATTATAATTTATTCATTGAAAAATATACCTACAGAAAACTTGTATAAGAACTGTAACTAAACTCTCTTTGACAGTCTATACATACCATTATTCCATTTTTGTCGTATTCTGGTCAAGGAAGTCCAAAATGAAGACCCACTTAAGGTTACATTATCTTCTCGAATTAAATCTTTACCGGCTAAATGGCCACCCATACCTCTACACTTTCTTACTGCTTCGAACCAGTTTGTTTGCTCTGGAGACATGTAGTAGCATGGCGATGTCAAGCTTCCACGGAATTTACATATGGTTTTGTCAACTAAATAACATATTAAAACTGGATGTCAGTATTGACTACCGAAGAAAAGCTTTTCTGATAAGGAAGAGTAATGTCCTGGCGAAAAGCTTTTCTGATAAATATAAGAGTAATAACGCATTTCAGTTATCTTTCTTTTAACAAAAATTTTAAGTATTTGTTTAAAGGATGTAACAAGTACAAATTGCACTTTCAAATTATCATTTCTACTGTGCATACTCTTATTTAATAGTGACATTGTTTTTTTCATAATTTCATTGGTAAGTGTGTATAGATTTAACCTTTTTGTAATCTTACATTTTGTACTTTTTTGTGGTTTTCATCTTTTGTTTCAGTATTTATGTCATTCTTCATTTTAGAAGTATTTTACCACAGTGAATGGGATAAACGCTTTATAAATATGCGTCCGAAGCGCTTTTCTGGTTTTACCTTCATCAGGAACGATCAAATCTAATTATTCGAAAGCCAGAGATATATAAATACGCTGAAACGTTAGAAACTATATGGTTAGTAAAGACCAAAACAAAATAGCCAAACTCATCTAAGGTCAGCTTTGCCTGAGGGAGTTATAACCTTAGTTTCTTCGTAATTTCTTAATATATTGTGAAATTTCGGAAATCTTTATTACCGATTTATGACCGTCATTTGTATTTACATGAATAATAATGACCGTACTTAAATTGAAACGACACCTTGTTCAAACCATGGAAGTATTATATTGTTAATATAACACTTCATGTTTAACCAACATAGAAATAAAAAACTGTATTGCTGTGATATTTGTGGGAATCAGCTATCTACACAGTTAAGCAATCGAAGGACAGTCTGTAAAGCTTACAATAATGCAAACAAATATAGACTTGAAAAGGACCTCACACAAATCAGTGACTAGTACTCACAGTTCCCCTATTATTTCAAGTTTCCTTTGCTTTGATATAAAAAAAGAAATTAAAAGCAAAATCTTACATATTAGGCATATGTATTTGTGTTCAAATCTGCATCGATCTTGGTACCATATCAGTTGTTTTTCGTTATCTTGAGTAACCCAAACACAGTCGTCTCTTTTACTGGCGCTATGTGGTTCATACATCTTCCACTTTATACTATCTAAAACAGATATACAAGATCGAATGACATTTCAACCTCAAAACAGCAATTTAGCTTTAAAAAGTATTTTTCAAGCCAACGAATTCAATGGCAGTAGTGTAGGTAGACTTCAGCTTTGGGTTTATAGTTCTATCAGCATTTATGATGTGCTTCAAAATTTGCACATGCGTTTTCGATTGATATCGATGAATTGTTCAAAGCTGGGGACTAATTACGTTTTAAATAGTGCTATTCTAGTAATCTTGTCTTATTTCTCCGATTCCTTAGTGCTTGCTTTTCATTCATTTTTAAACCTCGATATTCAAATTCTGTCAATTTGAAAGCTAGTTTAACGTTATTGTACATGTATATCAGATTTAACTTCGTACATGTGTTTTATTTTCAAACTTTTGATATTAAGTGTTCCTGGTAAAAGCTGATATATAAAGAAACTTGCGTCAAATTTTCGATTTGATATGTTTTACATGATTTTATATTTATATTAAAAAGATGTCATTATCATATGACACACATACTTGAAGGGCGTGTAAGTATTATGGTTATCTAATCGCCATGTGACAGTTGAGGATAGTTTGATAATTATCTCGCTAAGTTGCAATATTACCCGCAATTCCGGAACGTATCAGTGTCAAAATTTTTTGAAGCTCGATTCAAATTTTTGAAATTTCACTGTGATGTTACACACACAGTGTATATGCTTTTATGAGTTCCATAATTCCTTGTTATACTTTTCTACATCGGTTTATAGTTTTTATAATCAACGCATGCTTCGCTTCTTTTAAGCTCTTTATTGATTTAAATTCAGTTATGCGTTCACATTTTCTTGTTTTCTATTTTGTCTATTTTGAAGGCTTGAAAAAAAGGAATCATGCTTGAAAACGTCACATCGAAAGTATACAATTTTAAACATATCACTAGATTAGAATTTCAAACCTTGCTTACATATTGTTTAAAATATTGATAGAAACAGATTTGAGACCATAAAGGCAATGGAGGAGGTTTGTGCGCACGTAAAACTGGTTTAACATAACCACGTTTGTTCCTTTACAAAGTCAGGCTATCTAGCCATGCGATGTTCATTGTTGTTTGTCTATTGTTTGTACGTCTATATTTTTAGAGGAATTGGCTGTTGTGCGGTATGTTGTGCTGACCAATATTTTTTTTTGAAAATTCCTGTCTCTTTTTTTATGTATAATTAGTTATATTATTTGGTCTGGATTGATACACAGCGTTTCTGTTATAAAATATCAAAATACCTCTAACTTCGTTATTTTATCACGCTTATCTACTTTTTTTGACGTTTCTCAGTTTGTAATTAGGTTTCCAACCATGAATACTACATATTTACCCGCAATTGTCCCCTTCCTTGTTTTAGTCTCTATGTTAATATTATTATGTTATGTTTTACTTTTTTAAAAGTTGACCTACGCTTCTAAAGTGAATAAATGACAAGCGTTCTGCGTTGAGTGCAATGGACATTATAACATATACATAAACATGTATACGGTGTCTATTTATAAGCAAGGAGCTGCGATTCAGATGCGGATCCAGGATTTTGAAAGGGGGCGGCCCCACACTTGACAGAGTTCAGAGTGGAACAGTTAAACAGTCTGGATTAAACACACATGCAGCTAACCAACTCCTCCCCATTCCCCCGTTAAATCCGTCTTTAGATATTATTACCAATGATACAACTATCCACCAAAGATCAAAGGAAAACAATGATGACGACCACATGTCTCTATGTTTACCGATAAGATCAAATCATTTTTTATGTGATGCCATGAAGTAATAAAGACTGCATAAGAATAGGAATTAACTCTTTATATGCACTTTATGCCGATTAAGAAGAAGAATATTAAGAAATACATTTGTAAACAACTGTAATTTTCCTGATTTTGAAACTAGGCATTGGTTTTCTTGTTTGAATTGTTTTACATTTTGTCATGTCGGGGCCGCTTACTATTAAATATGTGTTTTACTCATTGTTGAAGGTCATGTGGTAACCTATATTTGCTTTAATCTATGTCATTTGGTCTCTGGTGGATAGTTGTCGAATTGGCAATCATACCAAATTTCCTGATCTTAGTATGGTTGGTTGAACCCAATTTAGCGATTCGTCATGCTTTTTACTAGTAATTCCATTTTACCTGTGTCAAAGAATCAGATTTATTATACTGAGGTTACCTTCTGTTCTGTATACTATTGTCATGTTTGGCGCTCCACATTTATAATTCGTGTCTCCAGGACATGAAACGTTGCATTTTATGTCCACTTCTTGCTTAACATAATGTAGATTATCATAACAAATGCACATTTTTTCCTACGAAAAAAAGGACACGAAATAACTTTCATTGATGTAACAGAAATCCCAATATAATCGTACAAATATTAGATAGATATTAATTATATAATATATGATAACATTTTATAAAAAGACATTGTATGATGTTTTCTATTTATGCGGAGTTGAATCGCCCTCAGTCAATCAATCAATCAATCAATCAATATTGTATCATTTTTCTCTTTATCTATCAAAACACATAAAGTTTGTTTAAATATGCAGATTATTGGAGATAGTTGGATTATTGCATATTAAACAATTTGCCAAACATTAATAGACATTACGGTCATAACTCTGGTAAACAAATAACTTGAAAATCTAAACTCTTATATCTGCTTATAATACAATTATAAAAAATGAAAACAACACTTTATAAATTCCAGGCGTCCGAAGCTCTTTCTGGGACGCATATACATATTTTGATGTAAATCACAATTACTTTTATTTTTCAGAATATTTGTTTTATAAATGTGCACAATGAATGACGATAGTCAATGTGATTACAAGATAATCAAAAAGAAACCAATTGGTTAACAGACACCATTACTTTTAACTAGTTTCCGGTATCTCTAAGCATTTTCATTATTTTGACAGCATTATTTTACTAATGTTAAAAGGGTTGTTTGACCCAGATAATGAATTTAGACAAGTACATTTTTAGTACGCTTTGTCAATACTTATATCCAAAATAATTTAGATATAACTCCTTTTATCTATAATGCAAATTTCCATGAGTTAAATGTTTTTCTCTGTTTTCTTTTTTATTTCGTTGATCAGATAGTATCCTATTTGGATTAACAGCCAACCAGCGGTGGTACAAATTCTGGGGTTTCAATTTAAAAAATGAACGAAACGAGATGTTGCGTATATGCGAATAAGATTGCATCTCAACTAAATATAAAACAACATTTAGGGGTCAACAGAACACAAGCCATTGTAACTGGTTCTCAGTTACTGCAAGGAATTTATCACTGGCAATTTGTTTAGTACCACTTTACTTGCAGCAATGCTTATTGTTCATCTGTAATGCCAACATTAGTAAGTTACGTGATTTTTCTGACTCTGATTTAGTTTTGAATTTATTTATTATAGGATTTCAATCAGTCAGTGGCTAGGTAGTCAATGTCGATTAGAAAGTAATTACAATTATGGCCAATCCAGATATGCAGTATTTGACATTCAAGTAGTATTTTATGTAGTACCTTTTGTCAATATAAAATAACTTCCCAATATAAAGTCAATTTATTTCCAACATACATTTGTAGTTCAGACAAAACTCAACTGTAAATTTGTATTTAGATATTGAAATAATTAAAATCAATTTTTAATTTACTTCTCATCGTTGTTGGTTATTGCAGAGAAATAATATTACTCTCTGGAAAGAGAAATAAATCATAATCTATCATAATTTAGAATAGATCCAAGTCTTTGGAAGTAGTCTTGTATGTCAATAAGCGATAAAGATGGAATGGTTCTCATAATTTACTATTTATTTTTAAAACTAGCTTACTGATAATCCAGCGAAAGCTCTTCGCATGTGGTGCTTACAAAAACTAATGCAAAGTGTTGGTTGGTTATCATGAAATGTTTGCCAATTCTTTAATTCAGACTGAAAGCACCCTATCGGTTCATCTACAAGTCTTTTTTTATCTGTAATAAATGAAGAAAAAAATAAAGTAAAAGGTTTAATGGGAGTGAATATATTTAAGTTGATAAGGAAAGGTGATATAAAGCGGCGTTTTCAATTAACGGTCACTTGTTTACATGCTTTTTTTCAGAACGTTTTTCTTGAAAACTATAATAAATGGAAAGAAACTAAGAAAGTAAGATCAGATGATGATCTACAAATAAATCAATATAGCCGAAATTGTTTGGCGACTCATGATATGAAATATTGCCCTTAATGACGATTTTTACCATTTTTTGCATTTTGTCTATCATTTTGAGAACTCTAATAGATATAATTTATTATGCAAACTTTATATAGCAAAAATGGTCAGGAATACTAGATTAATTTTTTTAAAAGTCAATATGGCTGAAATCGTCTGTCAAATCCATAAAAGAGTTATTGTCCTTCACCAAGGATTTTTTTTTTGCGTTTTAGGCAAAAACTATAGAAGCAAAAGAGAAATTTCAACCAGATAATTATGATCAGCAAGATAAGATCTAAATATAAGTCAAAAAGCTGAATTAGTCAGTCAACACCTTATAAGAGTTATTGTCCTGAAATGATGATGATCTTTTTTACCCCTTTTTGTATTTTTGGCTAAAACTATAGAAGAGAGACACTGTAAATAACAAAAGTTATAGATGCAAATAGAGAATTTTTGTCATGAATTATATCATAATCTAAAGTCATTAAGATAATGTTAGTGAGTGACTATTGTTGAAGATGTATACAGGCTCTTTAGAGACACTAGTCTAGTATTTCGTATGCCCAGTCATGTTTTGGCGTCGGCTGCTTTTTGTTTCTAGTATGAAGTTTTGTAGTTCCGGGTTGTGGTTTTTATCAGCTAGTTTAGTTCCGAGTTGTGGTTTTTAACTACCTATTTTAGTTCATAGTTATGGTTTTTATCTAGCTATTTTAGTTCAGAGTTGTGGTTTTTATCTGCATGTAGCTATAAACCGTTTCACTATACAAATAAAGGTACACAATTCAACGTGTGAGATATTCGTATACTAGTACTGTGCAAATACTGAGTATCTTGATTTGAGTGTGAACATTCAGATCACTTGCATGTCGCTGTTCTTTTTGTTTTTCTCATTCAGGCCTGTGTCTAAGCAATTGTCATCTCTTTCAAATTAAAACAATATGAAATAAATGCATCAAAAAGTTCGTCTTTAAGCGACTGTATTAAATTGTGCGATAAAAGAAATACATCAAAAGACGTTATCGAAAAATGTGTAATTTATTTCTACATGTTTTCAAAACAGTCAAGGATATATGTAGCTTTTCTTCTTATTTCTAAATCTAGTACAAAAGTATAAGTAATTCTTTAAGTGAATTTTATATTTACCGACAATGTACGCATATTGTATATTTGGATTCGGAATCATCTAGATAGTCACGGAATAATTAAATACTAGTATAAGAAAATTTGTGTTTGCAAGCTTTAGAAACGAATAAAATGGACATAAAAACAAAAAAGCGTTGAATGAAGTTTTTATGGTGTGCGGGTTTTTTACTTGATAGGATACGTTTTATACATATTATTGAAGATATAAGCTTACTATCATTCCATAAGAAGTATTTTCTTCTTTCTTTTCCTCCAATCCAAAAGGAAGTATCACCAGAGATATTTATTTTTAAAGTAACACTGTTCAAATCATCCAGATTTTGTATGGTATACAAATGCCTACCGAAACCTGAACAAATCTTGTCGGCATTGTCCCATCTAGTTTGTGTCCAGTTAACCAAAACTGAATTTGATGGCATTATAGAAACTGTAAAATAAAAATAACACTTTATAAATTTGGTACACCCAATGTGCTTTTACCGGATAAACCTTCACCAGGAAAGTTCTTACCCAAACTTTGTATGAGGGAGTTAGAAGTCTTAGTTTCTTAATAATGTCTAAATATATTAACCGAGAATTTAAGAAATGTATGTTTTAAATCACGTCATTACCGAAGCATGTTCCTGTAATTGATTATTATTATAATGAGTTCGAATAATTCGAAATATTTACTCCTTTGATGGAATAATGTAATCATAACTATCCATACATAGTTACGTGCCGCATAATTGTTCGTATAATAGTAATTTGAGTACTTTTAAAAAGAAAAGTTATCGGTATGGTAGGTAGACAAATTACTCGCGTTAATCAAAAGAACAAATACGTCTGAGTCTTGGATACTGAATTTCCTGAAGCATAAAGCCACGCAACAGTTTAGTTGCATGTTTAACTAAGTTCCGATTAAAGGATTCCTTATTTTTATTTTCTTAATTTATAATATTAATTTTGATTTACATTATGTCAATATGTATACGTGTACTTGCATTTGTATTGCAGCTCTTCATTTGCTGTTGCCTTGTACGAAAACAAAAAAAAAATTTTTTTTATTCTTGAACCTTTGTCGTTCGTTATTACATACAGTTGTAACAGACATATTCTGATATTTCATCCATTGGTATAAAATTTTCAAATCTTTTAATAATAAAAACTTACCGAAAAGTAAGATAAATTTTTCCATTGTCATAAAACAGTCTATAAAAATTAATAGTGTCTACATTTTTTGTACATTAGTCATTAATTTATTATTATTATCGAGCGTATGATTTATACGTCAAGTGTTTCTAATATTCACTGTACTTATGAATATAACGGAAACCGTGTCCAATGACCAATATAGATGAAATGCAATAGGTTTTAACCAATTAACCTTCAAACGGATATCAGACATAAACACTTATGTCTATAATATATCCTTTAGTGCACACATATTCTCTTGCAAAAACAGGTATAAATTGAAAATGAAGATAATCCGTTTCCACACAAGAGTATATGCACCTTTGAGGTACGGACATAAAGATACACCGAGTTAGGAGTTAGCTTTGCCCCGATGGAGGAAGAATGTTAAGAATATTTGTATCAATACTTCATTAGCGTGTTGTAGGTGGCTTGTTTAAACAAAAATGATATTAGTACCATAAACAATATACCCTTATTTTCTATCAACAATCACAATCTTTCCGTACGTCCTATGTTTAAGTTTCGGGTTGATGTTTATTGGACGCATTCCTCTAGTCTTTTTTTTTTATTCATATGAAAAATACAATGCTTAGTGAATAAATAATCCCGGATATTTTTCTCTTTGATCAGTAAGACATGCATTACAGCTAAACAGTTTGTATATTACTTCTTATTCTCTAATGGTTTTGGCCTAGCTGCTATTATTATGTTCCATGAAGAGATATTTCACAGAGTGTGAAATAAAAAAAAAATGATACGAAAAATGAGTTTGTTTGTTGTACCTATCCTGCAAATGCGAAATTTCCATTGCCTGTTCGTTAGATCAATTGATGAATTAAAGGGTCACAACGGACCCTTGGCAACGGATATTTGGGATTTCTTCAATAATATACAAAACATTCAATATGTTTCAAATGAAAATATTCTTTTTGTCAAATTTGATTCCATTCTCAAGCGTACAAAAAGCTTGAAAACGTCCGATTTAATAGAAGTCACTGTTCTTGGTACAACATTATCAACACCGTTAGCGGGCTTATGATTAAGGTAAAGCTTGTGAAAATATTAATGAAAGGAAAACTATGGATTATTGAAAGTATCCCATTACTCAAATTGCTATGAACTCATTTGAATTGAACGAGATTTGTGATTTACGGCAATGATACAGCAACTTGACTAAAACATGATAAAGAACATCTAGAGATCAGCATAGATCTTCAAGAGAGTAGATCGGTTTCTTTTCAATATGCTAAGCTCTACATCACCTGAAGAAAAATCATAAGCGAATCAAAAATCTCGTAACAACACAAAAACCAAATCTCAAAAGACATGCTTATGTAGAGTAAATACTTTTATCGTTTAAAATTATAGATAAATAAGAATAGTTAAGCATAGCATGAAAGTAGTAAATAGTTCACCCCAAAACAGTACCTATATATAGCTGTAACTTTCAAAATATGTAAAATAATGGGGGTAGTTTTAGTATGAAATGAAAGCTTGAGGGCCTTTGATCACTGTTGAACACTGGTTAAATGTTTTTAATGAATAATAAAAAGGTAACAGTATGTGAAATTGAAACAGAATGTCGTATTTTGCCTGTTTCTCAGATCAGAAGTACCTGTTTTTGTTATTCCGAATTTTCCGGAATCAGTGCGCTTTTATATACAATTAAAGAGAAGAACAAGCAAGACACGATAAGACATTGTTTTGACATGAAATGACTGCAACTATATTCAAACTTAATACAAAATGGCTGTAAATGCTGGAAGCTGCTAAAACACAGAAAGCATTAAATAATGAATTATTGGATTTATACACCATACAAATGAAATAATATGGGTTACCGTTATACGTTTGATTTAAAATCCTTGATTCGAATGTTTTAAAGCTATTTCATTTAAAAATTAATGAAAGTCATGAAAACAAATACATAAACCTGATTAAAAATTTGGCAGAACAAAAAAGGTGTAGTTGAACCAAGATTTAAAAAAAAAAAACAATATATAGTTCGCGTTACTAATTTGATACGGAATCATACAGGAGTATGTTTCATTATTTTTATTGTAACACATAAAATGTTCCTGTTTACTGTCTAGTATGATGACTTTTAAGTAAAGGACTTTTAATCGCTCGGATATGCTGTTAACAAAATGTTCTTGTGTGCCCTTTGTACATTTGTAGATGATAACGATAAGTTGTTCACGTACAACTTCAAGATAAATCATCAAATTCTATAATATAAGTGTGCATATTTAAAGAACTTTGAGAAGAGTTGATATGAATTGTATGTGTTTACATGCACTAATTCTTTGTACTTTATCAGGTTAGCTACTTTTAACTTTATTTTTACATTTTTCTGAAGCATGACAAACGTGGCGTCAAATCAGTCCTTATATCTTTTTGATTCAATATCAACAAGTGCTTGAATTGTATTCCAAAATCGTAAGTTCTGTATTCTAAGACAAAAATCGCACCATTCAAATCTTTGAACTTGTATAATATGTATTATATATTAAGTCGGATACATTCCACCTCTCGGTGGGTTGACGCTTGTTTGAATAATGAATTGAAGATTAGTGTTTAAATAAGCACCGTCACGAGTATACAACAACATGGCGATTGTGGTTTGTTTTGTCAATCACGTGTTAGCTTTTAAGGGGGTTTAGTTTTGTAATATGGCAAACCCCACAGATTAACAAGTCTTAGAGTTCTCTGATTAAAGCTGTTTTATGATATAGTTTGAAAGACTGAACAACAACGTTTTACTCATATTGATGTTAACATTATTTTAAAATATTCCAGTAATGGCATTATATTACTATCCAATTGCGTGTCTACAGAGAAATGGTATCAGCATACATCTGAGGTCTTTGGCAATCATACCATGATTAAAATACATGATTCAATAACGATTCATATGTTCATACAGAATTAACATGATTCAATAACGATTCATGCCCATACAGAATTAATAATACTTTTAACAATTTGATCATAGTAAAATGAAAGCATTTATAAGATTTCATTCCCAAACAGTTAGCTATAAAACATTCTCATTAAGAGTAACTTCATCGGAGAAACTTTAATTGCACATGACAAATTCTTCACAGTTTACAAATTTATGCATTTCAAGATCTATTTAAAATTAATTGGGGTCGTTGTAAAACCGCTGTAAAGGAGTGCATGGTTGAAGTTACTTGTATATATGTACCTCTCTGCGTAACACAGTTCTGTCACTGTTTTTTATTGGCAACTGCTTGCATAAATTTATCTACTTATGCCGTACTGAATGACACTTTTTCTGTTTCTTCAATTTTCTACTTCCTGATCGCCGAAATCTTTTTATCTTGAAAATGTCATGCAGATTATTTAATCGTCATATCTTTCGTAGTAACTACATATACAAGACATAATAGCTTTTTGATATATGACAACATTTGATTAATATATTTGTGTGAACAATTATGAGTAAGAGAACAATTAGTGAGCAATAGCTTCAATACATCTTTTTTGAACACATTGTTTCTCTCATCTTAATTTAAAAACCAAGGAAAGGTTAGAAAAGTTATGCGTTCAATTAACATAAAAGTTTTATAATAAAATTATCGTTTTTATGGTCAGTTTTAAACATAAACTGCAACAGCTCTTTTGAGAAGACAAGAATAGTGTGATTATCTAAATTAAATTATGAATTCACCTTGTTTAGCTTTTATCTAAGGAACAGCAGACACGGGTATGTCACCTGTCTTATTTATTGTAAATGGACCGATTTCTAAAATTGATTTTAAATGCTCATGTTTTAATGTATCTCAAACAATATCTGAAACTCACTTATGAACCAATATATTATTTTATGGAAGCAACAAAATATATCCAATAGAGTAAAGGCCAAATTCCTTGTGTTTATCTTACACTATGACCTATTCGAAAATGACCGTCAATCCTTACTTAATTTCACAGTTTCACAGCTTCATTTTTGTTAGATAAAATAAGTACCGCAATTTTGAACATTTAACCAAATGAAAATGTCTAGAGATTCTTCGAAAATGCAATTGTCATGGGAGTTCTTTATTTAGATTTTATTTTATTTGTTTTTAGGATTTTATTTACAAAACAAAGTAAATGCTGAGTGTCCTCTAGGATGGGTGCATTATGATTTTTCCTGCTTCCTGTTCAGCACAAATGCTTTGAACTGGTACAATGCACACGTAAGTCATCTGAACAAATACAAAATATAGTATCTTCATCAGAAATATCACAAAAAAACAATAGCTTAAGTTTACTGGCAAGATATTGGGACAGTTAAATGATAATTCAATTTCTTGTTTTATCCTGTTATTGGCATTTTTTATATAATTTTACACAGCAATATCCGATCTCTTGTTTTTAGATTGTCTGTGAAAGTTTAATATTTCTATAACATTCAAAAATATATATGACAAATGACATGCAGGTTAATTGATAATCATGATATATTTTATTTCATGCATATAGGGGTCGTGTAGAGCACATAATGCTAGAATTGCTGAGGTGAATTCAGTTGACCTCATGGCATACTTACGTCAGATGGCAAAATCTTACGGCTATGGTATAGTATTTATACTTTGTTATTACACAGTGATATGTGAAAAATTACAAAATTTAAATATTTGCATTATATTTGAAATTTAAAATCCAAATATAATGTATTTTTATGGATTGTTGGTTGACTTTTGTAACTATCTCAACCCTTTTCCCATCCAATTTTTCGTCATACATACCTATAAAAAGATACAATTCTATCAGTAATGATACGAAACTTGACATAGAGAGTCCCCCTTTTATGAAATTAATTGCAAATCAGTACAATTAAGGTAAAGAAACCGTAAATGTCACCTATTTTGTAATGTTGTACATACATAGATTTATCCTGTTGAACTGACTTTAAATAAAGCTAATACTGACAATGAACACTGCCCTTTCCTGGATTTTGATATATATATCTTTAACGGGAAGCTTAATACTAAAATTTACGATAAAAGAGATGGTTTTTCATTTCCTATTGTAAATTATCAATTTTTAGATGGTGACGTTCCCTTGGCACCATCTTATGGTGTTTATATATCTAAACTTGTTCGATTTGCTCGTGTATGTAACAACGTATTTGATTTTAACGAAAGAAATCTCTGTATTACTGACAAATTATTACATCAGGGTTTTCGATATCACAAAATCGGTACAAGGACATCATTCGTAAATATAAATCAACGTGCATCTTATACGTTCAGGTATTTCATATCCAATTTTTTATGATAATATTCTATACAAAGCACAAAAATGTCGTCATTCACCTCAAAAGTTAACCAAACCTTTAAACAGACTTATTCAGGAGGGATATATTTACAATACTATTGTCAAGTTATTAAAGACGGCAATTTTTGGAATTAATATTGATTCACTCATAGGGTCTTTGCATCGGAAATGAACACATTTATTCTAAAACCAGTTGTTGGCATGATACGGTTTATGTTCATTGTATATTTTATGATGGTATGATACTAAATCCCTAACGGGAGGGATTGTGCTTGATTTTTATATGATGAAGACGTAATCTTTCAATCAGTTTAATTGAGGTCTGGAGCTGGTCAGTTACTGCCAGTAGTCCTTTGCTAATTTATGTTGATCATTGTCATTTTGCTTAGTTTCTTCTTTTACCTATAATAATTCTTACATCGGATTCGGACTTCTTTTAAACTGAGTTTTTCTGTGCGTTTTGCTGTGTGTTTGTTTATTCCACATTGGCTAGAGCTATAGGGGGAAAGTTGTGATCTTGCAAAACATGTTTAACCTCGCCGCATTTTTGAGCCTGTCCCAAGTAAGGAACCTCTGGCCTTTGTTAGTCTTGTATGTTTTTTTAAAAATTTTGGTTCATAAATATGTTTCGAAGTTTAGTTGACGTCCATTATTTCTGAACAAGTATATATATACATTATTGTTTAGGGGCCAGCTGAAGCCCGCCTCCAGGTGCGGAATTTTCGCGCTGTGTTGAAGACCCATTGGTGGCCTTTGGCTGTTTTCTGCTCTTTGGTCGGATTGTAGTATCTTTGACACATTCTCAATATTATCTTGGATATATAGATATATAACCGAAAGTCGAAAAAATAGATAAATAAGTGTTCTACTTAATAACATATTACCCAATGGAAATCGCTAAACATTCTTTTTTTTACAGAATGCACGTACTATCTGTGGAAAAGTAATATATGTAGATCCATTTTTGACCATGAGACCTTTCTGAACTTTCAGTGTTAATTGTATAGACACTAAAAAATCACGAAGGTTTCAAGGTCAATCAAGCTGGCACTGTGATCACTCCGAACACACCGAAAAAAAAGTTTCCATTAATTCCGCTTGATTACATTGTCATCTACATGGTATATAACTCCAAGGCCCAACTTTTATTTACATGTATTTTTATAGCCGACTATACGGTATAAGTGGTCTTTTTCATTGTTGAAGGCCGTATTGTAGTCTATAATTGCTTACATGTACATCTACTTCATCTGAACTTTGGTGGATGTTGTCTTATTGGCAATCATACCACATATCTCATTTTTATATTATAGAATTCCAAAAATAATTAAATCATTAATTTTTCAATTTTTTTTTTCTAAAAAAAAAAAATGTATTTACGGCTAGCAGCTGGTTGGATATTGAATATCCAATACCGAAAAAAGAATCGGCCGCTAACTTTACATACATCCTTTTTATACTCAGAGTACGGTAGTAGGGATTTTATTTTGTTTTCTGGTCTATGCATTCGACCCGTAGTAAAGTAGTGTACCATGAAGTTGACATGTGATCACATCAATTTGAAACTAAAAGTACACATGTTCATTATGATTTGAGCTGTTAAAATCATATAGCAAGTAACGATTGGTCCCGGGAACATAGTTATCGTCCTTTGATTTTTGTTGTTTACAAATGTAATCTCTATTGTGGATGGACAGTGTTTTACTTTCATATTATTTTCGCACACCTTGCCAATTTATTTCTTTTTATTTTATGTCTCAAAAAGCAAGTAGGTGGAATGAAATTACTGTTAAGAATTTTGGGTCATGAATTTTACGGTATAGTCGTGACTTGGTCCATTTAAAAAAGTGCAAAATTAGTATGTCTTAAGCTATATATATATATAAGCTGTCAAACTAAATTCAAGACCACCTAAACATTAAGTTGTCCATATTTTGAGTTAGAGCTGATGAAGTATTCTAAAATTTTGATATAAGTTGTCCTACACAACACTGTAAAAATTTATTGAGAAAGCGCAGGTTTTTTTTTTTAACTCTACATTTATTATTCTAACGAAATGCACTATGAAAAATAACAGTGCTCTCGGGAAAATTACGGATTTGACCCCGATTCCATGGTTCACTGAACATGGACCGACCGTGCGAGAAATTCATGGGTAGTTAAGGTCGTTAAAACACCACAAGTAGGAGTACTGAATATGGAAAGTGAAATTCTCATGTTAAAGTTTTTGCTTGAAGTATTTTAGTATGGAGTTGTGGTCACACTAATTTGAAACTTAGTACACATGGTCATTGTGAGGTAAACAGTCTATAAAGTTTTTGCCAAATTATGATTTTGCCCCACTTATTTAATGGTTCTTTCAACAGTGACACATGATAAAGCGAGCAAGGCATTGCGTCCATAGGACACATATTATTATAATTATCTTACTCAACTAATCATAGCAAACTAATTTTGTATTTCTTTAAAAAAGTAGTAACAGGAAAAAGACACACAAGTCGTTTTTAAATGATTTATTATTTCAGATTATTGGTTAGGTGGACGAGATGATGTAATCGAAGGTTTCTGGCAGTGGTCAAGTACGGGAGAAAATTTTACGGTCTCCGATTGGCTCCCAGGGGAGCCAGATGATGCATCAAATAACCAGGATTGTCTCCTTATCTGGAAAAAAGCAGATTATCGCTGGGATGACCAACAATGCACCACCAAATATCGTTATATCTGTGAATCAGAGTATGTAAAGTGTTTCAGTAGACAATGTGTTGCAAGTAGATTCAAAATAAGGAAATATCGAGCACGAAAATAACATAATAGAAAAACTTGTTAGAGTCTCAGTCAAAGTTGACCTTAGATGGAATTGGCTATTTTTTTTAGGTTCTATTGGTTGTATAGCTCTTCAATTGTTTTGGTTTTTATATATCCTTGGCTTTCAAATATTCGGCTTTGAGCGTTCCTGATGAAGGTAAATCCAGAAAAGCGCTTCGGACGCATGAAATTTATTACGTGTTGTTTTCATTTTTTTTCTGATAAGGGGATCCGCGAGTACATGTCAAGATTGTTTTCAACACCAACATATATGAGAAAGTAAAGATCTCGTATCTTTTCCTGAAACAACTTCATCTAAGAGTCTTATAATTTGATACGACAGACACGCGTTTCGTCTACATAGGACTCACCAGTGATGATCGAATCAAAATAGTGCAAGGCCAAATGTATGAAGTTGAGGGCATTGAGAACCGAAAATTCCTAAATATTTTGACAACTGTGGCTAAGGTAATCTTTTCCTTGAGGTAGAAAATCCTAGGTGTTTCGAACAATTCAAACAGTAAATCTATAAAAATGGTCGTATCAATGATGTTTTACGTCTATCAATGTCTGTACAGAAGAACTGGCTACTGAGCTGGGCTAACAGTCCACTAGCAAGTACTTGGTATTGTAAAATACGCAAGATACACGAGCCTGTTCATTACATAACTTTACGTTCCACTATATAGATGATGTCCTCTCACTAAATAATACAAAATTTGGTGACTACAGTGGAGATCACTTCTAACCTCTCATCAAATCTGTCAGAATCTGTCAAGAGAACTGTTCTAGGACAGTATGTAGAACTGATCCTGACAGTTCTACCCTAGAACAGTTTTAGACAGTTCTACGACTAGAACAGTTCTACGACTAGAACAGTTCTACGATAACAACTGATTTGGTCAGTTCTACGGCTAGAATTGATTTAGTCAGTTCTATCCATAGAACAGTTTTAAGAACTCTTTGTCTTAAATATAAATAAGTCAAAAGAATATAATATATATTAAAAAAATTGCAGTGACGTCATTTAGAACTGTTCTACAATCCTGACAGGTTTGGTCAGTTCTACGGTTAGAACAGTTTTAGACAGTTCTGCTGACAGTTCAACGATTAGAACTGATTTAGTCAGTTCTGCTGACAGTTCTACGACTAAAACTGATTTGGACAGTTCTACCTAGAACAGTTTTAGACAGTTCTACCCTAGAACTGATCCTGACAGTTCTACCTAGAACTGATTCTAACAGTTCTACTTAGAACAGTTCTAGGGTAGAACTGTTCTAGGTAGAACTGTTCTAGGACAGTTTAGAACAGTCCTATGACAGATTATTCTGATAGTTCTAATGAGAGGTTAGAAGTGATCTCCACTGTATGTTGAACGAATCTATCCCATCGTACTAGAGATAATGGATACTACAGATACAGTTAAGTCTGCCTCGTATCTTGACTTACATCTAGAAATTGACAATGAGGGTCGGTTGAAAACAAAACTTTACGACAAAAGAGATGATTTCAGCTTCCCAATTGTGAACTTTCCATTTCTATGTAGCAACATTCCAGCAGCGCCTGCATACGGAGTATATATCTCCCAATTGATACGATATTCCCGGGCTTGTATTTCCTATCATGATTTCCTTGATAGAGGATTGCTGCTCACAAGGAAGCTATTAAACCAAGAATTCCAAATGGTGAAGTTGAAATCATCCCTTCGTAAATTTTACGGACGCCATCACGAGTTGGTTGACCGTTATGGAATAACCGTTTCACAGATAATATCGGATATGTTCCTTATGTCGTAACTAAAATATCCTTCCCTTTTCACGAATGTGACCTATCGAATTAGACTATTTACCGGATTTGTAATAACATAAGCAACACGACTGGTGCCACATGTGGAGCAGGATCTGCTTACCCTTCCGGAGCACCTGAGATCACTCCCAGGTTTTGGTAGGGTTCGTGTTGCTTAGTCTTTAGTTTTCTATGTTGTGTCATCTGTACTATTATTTGTCTGTTTGTCTTTTTATTTTTGGCTATGGCGTTGTCAGTTTGTTTTCGATCTATGAGTTTGACTGTCCCTCTGGTATCTTTAGTCCCTCTTTCATTACGATCTACTTGGTATGAAATATCGATTTTCAACTTATTATTTATATAATAACAATACCCAATTCAAACTATTTAAAAATAACCGATTACTTTATTTTTTAGATACCCTGGAGAAGCTGTGATTGGATGAAAGTTTGTAATACAGTTGTAATCAAGATTAATAAAACAGTTATATTATAAACAGGTTTCTTATTTTTGTCAGACCCATTTATGATCTATACGGCTTTCAGAAATCTTGGTGTACTTTCGTAATTACACAAAAGCCACCTGATTGATAATACACATTCGTGTAATTATCTTGAATTAAAAACAAACACCTTATAAATTAGGTGCATCTGAAGCGCTTTTCTGAATTAACCTTCATCATGAACGCTCAATCCCCCAAAGTGGAAAGTCAAGGATGTAAAGTTACTGGAATACACGGGGAGCTATATGACCAAAAAAAAAAAAAGAACACAAAAAGAAAAGTCAAGTTCACCTACAAATGTAGGTCAACGTTAACTTTAGCGAAGGAAATTAGAACCTTAGTTATTATAATAATTAATCATTTCTAAATTTATCAAAAGAGAATGTAAGAAAGGTATACGCTTACGATATGAATCTTTAGTTTTCTATGTTTAATTTTATATAAAATTGAGAATGGAAATGGGTAATATGTCAAAGAGACAACAACCCGACCAAAGAGCAGACAACAGCCGAAGGCCACCAATGGGTCTTCAACGCAGCGAGAAAATCCCGCACCCGGAGGATGTCCTCAGCTGGCCCCTAAATAAAATTGTGTACTACTTCAGTGAAAATGGACGTCACACTAAACTCCAAAACATATAAATGAACTAAAATTAAAAAACATACAAGACTAACAAAGGCCAGAGGCTCCTGACTTGGGACAGGCGGCAAAATGTGGCGGGGTTAAACATGTTTTGTGAGATCTCAACCCTCCCCCTATACCTCTAGCCAATGTAGAATGAAGAAACACATAGCAATACGAACAGTAAAACTCAGTTTAAAAGAAGTCCGAGTCCGATGTCAGAATAGGTAACAAAAGAAACTAAGCAAAATTACAATGATACATAAATGAACAAAGGACTACTAGCAGTTACTGACATGCCAGCTCCAGACCTCAATTAAACTCATTGAAAGATTATGTCTTCATCATATGAAAATCAAGTACAATCCTTCCCGTTAGGGGTTTAGTATATACTTGTTTGTCCGTTTTGGTTGTTTTTCGTTTTGTGTCATAGCGTTGTCGGTTAGTCTTCGTCTTATTAGTTTGTTTATCCCTTTGGTGTATTCTGCCTGTCTTTGATAAGCATGAATGCATGGCCAAGTGATCACCTATTCTATAAAAAGGACAACTATGATATATATCATGACTTCAGTAAACTTCTTTTTGGCAATAACAAACTAAAGATTAGTACATGAATGGTAGAATATTTATATATGGATTTTCCATATCTTAATTGTAATGCAACATAGTATATGTTCATTAATTACCATTTTTTATCCTGCAATCGACCTTTGTAATATACAAATACAGGTTGACAGGTAACATGAAGCGTTAAACATAAGTCTCCAGGTTTTGCTAAGTTGGGAGCGACCGGTTATATTCAAATTAATGTTTGATTAAGTAATATTGTTCATCATATACTTAGCCCTAATATGATAGTTTTGCATATGTGTAACGAGCGGAAATAAACTAGACATAAATTCACACCCAGGCTGATAATCCATATCAGTCCTATGAGACGTCACATGGTCTGGCTGATATGGGGTTATCAACCTGTGTGCGTTTGTACATCGGTAGTATATGATAAAAATATTAATACATGTCCTTTTCCATATCGGCCCTGGTATCATCCCTCGACCCATATCAGCCCCGACTAACGTCTTGGGCTGACATGGGGGTCTCGGGATGATTCCCGGGCCGATATGGAAAAAGTTAGCTGTATCGGCCACGAGACTCGAAAAGTCGATGGCCAATACAGCTGATTGAGAATCTATAACAGGGCCAATACAGAAACAGCCAGTTTATAACACTTTTATTAAATGGTTCTAGTTCTTTGATTAAACTAAGAAACGTATCGGTAAATACATTGTAAAGGAAATCATATTTGAACTTGCCTTTTACAAGTCATAACGAATTGTTTTGCCAATATTCTAGAGAGCGACCGGTTACATTCAAATTAATGTCTGATCAATTAATATTGTTTATCATATATTTTGCATTAATATGATAGTTTTTGGATATGTGTAACGAGCGGAAGTAAACTAGCCATAAATTCACACCCAGGCTGATAGCCAATATCAGCCCTATGAGACGTCACGTCACGTTGTCGGTCTGATATGGGGTTATCACCTGCGTGCGTTTTTGTGAAAATTTATAGAACTAAAACAAACTATACAGGAATTATTCAAGCTCGGTTTTCCTAGTAAAAAAGTATAATAATGAAATACACTGCTTGAAGACTACTATTTTTGATTGACACATCTAATTTTACAGAACTTTAACTTCATGTAGGGTCAAGGGAATAACAAACTCGTGTACATTATAATAAAAATAAGAAGATGAGGTATGATTGCCAATGAGACAACTATCCACCAAAGTTCAAATAAAGTGGATGTAAGCAATTATAGGTAACCGTACGGCCTTCAACAATGAGAAAAACCCATACCGTATAGTCGGCTATAAAAGCCCGCATATGATACTCATTCTAGCATTTTGATAATACTTCATATAGCATAAATTGCAATAGCTCTCTTCGCATGTTTGTTTATGCAAAAATCGACTATTTTCTACTATTGATTGATATTTTGGTCTCGTTTTCATACATACCAAATGATCTCTTTCTGTTGCAACAGTTTTGCCACCATCTTTTTAGGATGACCCCTTTTGAACACCGACTGACTTGGTTAAAGCATAAATAAACAGCTATCTTTATCATTTTAATCGTTGTAAACTCTTCAGTTTACATGTAGCACCTGCAGCATCTTTAAAGGAATTATACAAAATTTACGATGTTAAATTTCTATCCTAAGGCGAAAGGAAAACTCGCTTTGCCACGGTGAAAATAACAGATAAATAATGATAGATAAACATGTTACACACTAATTCTTTAAATTTCTAAAGAAATCTTTTAATGGAAACCATCAATGATAATACATCGTTTTAATCAAAATATACATGAGAAAATATAGCTGGCTGTTCTGACAGTGTATACTGTTGATTTTGCCATTTTATTTTTTTCTATGCTTTACAGCACGCGTAGTTCAGCTAGATATTTAACTTATAGACAATTCAAAGGTAGGCAGTTTTATTTTAATACATTTATTCGAAGTAATTGCAGTTACTATTATCAAATAAGATAATTAATATTGTCAAAAGCTTAAATTTTAGTTTTACTGATACTTGTTCTTAGGCTAATCAGAAAAATGAAGAACCATTTCCCCTATATTTGTTTCACCCATTGGGTCAAAACTTGAAGGTATTCAAATCCTACTGGAAATTAAAGAGTCTTTTTCATTTCTTTAAATTTTTTTCACCAATGTAACATACTTTCCAAAAAATCAAAATACTATTCAGAGCTACACGTTGCTGTTAAAGACATTAGATGCAAAATTGCAATTTTTATACATTTAAAAAAAAATTACATCGAAGGACGTCGAAAACCAATTGAAAGATTTGGTATCCGGAACACAATATTTCGAACATGATTTCGTTAACGATGCCCTTATTATATATTTGAAGGGTAAATATTAAAAATATTTCCAAAATCTGTCAAAATTGCAATTTTGGGCTATCGTCTAATGGTCATTATTATGATCTGTTAAGAAATAAAAAATAAGCAATAATGATTATTGTTAAATCCTTAAAGTACACACATTGGACAGTGGCACTTTTAATTTAAGTAAAGATTGAAAATATCCGTAGTGTGAAATAAATTCAGGGGAAATTGGTCTAACATATTTTAACAAGCAACAATACAGAAAAAATGAATAACTAAAATATTTCAGTTTTAAATTAGCATTTCCAATGTTGCCATAATCAGACATTAATACGGTTTTCGAATTTCACTGAATGAAAACAAAAATTATCTCAGAATTTTGTCGCCATTTAAGATTACTTTTTATGAATACATCTTCTATGTATTTATTTACTATTCTATAATATACTTATTACAGACATGATGTGTTGTCCAAAAAGATTCCTAGTTGCATTCATGGGATTCTTCGGCCTTCTGCTGGTTGTCGGATTCCGTTCAGTATTCGCTATGGTCATGGTCAATGTAGTAAACGTGAAAAACAGGTCATTTAACACATCCGATAGTATCGTCAAAAATGTATGTATAATAATTTATATCTTCATAGTAAAAATATAGATAGATAATTGAATTAATCAAAAGAAAAAAGAAAAACCAATAGGTTGCCAATGAAACAACTATAATTCATCTAAAGACCAAAGGACAGGGACAGGGATGTGAACAACTAAAAAACCCACTGATTCTTGACCACTGAAAGTTTTTTAAAACTGAAAAAATTACAAGTTTGTATTATTGTAATTGGTTAAGATCATGGAAGCCCGTATCTAAAGTTTTACAGCAAACAGAATATTTACACACATTTTTTTTGGCTTTATTTTAAAAGTTATTGTAATATATGTGTTACTTAATTATGTTGACTAAATATAATTCGTTGCAAAGATTCCGAAAATTGTATCCTTAATTTGAATTAAAAGAGATGTTATGTCATGGAATTGAAGTTTCTTTTTAATATTAGTTCCAAATGGAATAAATATTCTTAAGTGATATTTCCAATGTAGGAAGAAATATTACAGTATTTGTTCCTGACGGAATGGACATATATTATTGCATTGTTTATAACAATGTTTCCAGAGGAACCTCTGTAAAGTGAAACAAATACACGTTGGTAGTTGAGTATAAGTCAATAAGACAGCAACCCAGTAATAAGAGGCAAACGCAAAGTCTTAAACAACAGACGGATGTCAATAATACGTCTAGCGCTAAATCGTGCGAGTATGCTGCAAAATGAATGATCTAATTTGATATTTCCCATATTCAAGTCCTTCGTCATAAGTCCGCTGTTTGCCCCTGTGAATTGAAAATTTTTGGTAGCTTTATATTAAGTTTCTTTCTTGTTTCAGTGTATTGCAGAAAAAACTTGCGGATTGTCATTGAACTGGACAGTACAAAGTACTTTATATTTCAATACAGCTTTCTTTTTTGGTGAATTGTTTACGCAGATTCCTGGGGGATTATTAGCTACCATGTTTTCACCTGTGAAGTAAGTACTGAGAAATACCTTTGACATTTAACCAGGTTAAATATTAACTTTGAATAAAAGTATATGTATTGGTTCGGGTTTTAATTTTCTCACGATGGAAATAAATCCTTGCCGAAATCAAGTAACAGCAACAAACCTATCAAATTGGTATAATCATTGAATACTATCAATCGATTTCACAATGTATATAATTCAATACTTTATTTATTTTGACGAGATAACAAACAGCCAGAAAGCTAATAGTAAAGTGGTCAGCAGACAGCCTTTTTTCAAAATAATTGAAAACAAAAACAATCTAACATGTTTTCATATTCGCTATCTATATAGAAATGTTATCAATTAATCAATAAAATGTACAAGTTTTGAGTATTTAAACAATAAAGCAGACATGTTTGAATCCAAACTCATATCATCATATGGGTGAATAGTTATAAGATGACAGAAACATTTCATTCCTAAAACTCAACTGTAAAACTGGCAAATGTCAATGATATATATCCTCTGTTAACAAACTAGCCTTTCTTACAAAACAATTGGGAATGAATGTTTTACTTTAATGAAATATAATATCGATTAATCACAAATTTAAAATGCTAAGATCAATACGATTGTAATACGTCGTTTAAACAAATGATATAAATATGATAAGACGGAAAGCTAGAAAAATTGACAAGAGCATAATGCAGATCAAATACCTAAAAGGTCAGAAGAAACATTTGGGACATTTATGCGCTGATGCAGTTTTTTCACCATGTATAACAATGTCACAACATGAACCCAAATGAGAGAGGTGTACAGTAGCTTTTTAAAAAATACCAGTTGTTTGCATGATACGGATTATGTTCTTCTCATATATTTTATGATGGTATGATACTAGAGGTTACATGTATAGGGGGAGGGTTGAGATCTCACAAAACATGTTTAACCCCGCCGTACTTTTGCGCCTGTCCCAAGTAAGGAGCCTCTGGCCTTTGTTAGTCTTGTATGTTTTTAAATTTTAGTTCATTTATATGTTTTGGAGTTTAGTGTGACGTCCTTTTTCATTGAACTAGTACACATTTTTGTTTAGGAGCCAGCTGAAACCCGCCTCCGTGTGCGGGATTTTCTCACTGTGTTGAAGACCCATTGGTGGCCTTGGGCTGTTTTCTCCTCTTTGGTCGGGTTGTTGTCTCTTTGACACATTCCCCATTTCCATTCTCAATTTTATTTCTGCTCTTTAGTCGGGTTGTTGTCTCTTTGGCACATTCCCCGTTTCCATTCTCAACTTTATTTCAACACACTTGTTTGCATCTGCAATTTAAGTCAATAAATCGTACATCGCTTAGAATACTAATTTTTTACACTCATTTCATATACACTGTATGATTGTAAATTCTATATTAATGCAGAGCTAACACGTGTATAAAACCAACCCCTCAAGGATAAACAAAACAGTAGCAGGTTCTAGTATTCTTAACACAGTCGATGTAAATTAGGTCCATTTTAGATAATGACACTGTTCTGTTCTTATCAAAGCAAAGTGCTTTCTAGTTTGAATAATTTCTGACTAGAGATGGATAAAGAAATTATTACTTCTATTACATTAGTCGAACACTACGGTTTTTCGGCTCCCAGGCAAAGATTGCCTAAACCGTATTTGGCACGATTTTTCGGAATTTTCGTTCTTTTTATGCTCTTCAACTTCGTATTTGATTTGACATTCCAACTAGTTGGTTCTACAGTGCCACTGATGAGTTATATGTAGAAGAAACGCTCGTCTGGTGTACCAAATTTATATATGTCTGGTATATTTGATAAGTTTTTAAAGTAAATTAATAACGTGGTATTCCTTGTCTATTCTCGGCCACTTTCGTGACCTGGGATAGATCAGATGCAATGTCTGAATATTTATTTTACAAAATATTGAAATTTGATTATAATCTCCCGTTATTTATCAAATTAGATCGTTACTTGGGTCAGTCTCAAACTGAAGTACTCTTTTAGTTGGTTTTTTTTTTGCATCTTTTCAGGGAAGCATTTACAGTAAAATTAGTTGAATGTATTTGCCAATTTATTCGCTGAGGCGCAAGTATTATAGAAGTGTCTAGTTTTTTGTTCAATTTTGTTGGTGTTTTAGTTGAATACTGTGCAAGCTGAAATGTATAAGATGAATAATTGTACCGAATAAAGTTAATAGGACGTGTACGTAAATTGACTGTATTTTTTAGGGTACCATTTTAGGTGACGTAAGCCATTACAGCCTACAATGTGTGTCAGAAGTGGTAAGGATGCATCCTACAACTTAAAAAAATATAACTTGATTTATGACCCCATCCGACGACATTACATATACTATAACACACTAGCTCCACCGCGAGTATAACATATATAGCGCTGAACATATCCCAACGAGGATATTAATTTTATAACATTGTTGTATTTACAGAATTTGTGGTTTATCAGTTTTTTCCTCCAGTTTATTAATGATTATACTTCCAATCTGCATACAGAACAGTCAGTATGCCTTAGTAATGGTTATCAGAGTCTTACAGGGACTGGTTGAGGTATGTATCAACAAAAAGCATTTACATATAATAACTAAATGTCTTTTGAAGTACATGTGTGTAGAGGAAACATAATGTATACTCCAGTAGAAGTCTTCTTATCTCAAATTAGAATTGAATGAACATTCTATTTCCACCGAATCAGTATTTCTTGAAACGTTTTACAATTGGAAATTACTTGCTAAAAAAACAAACAGAGGGAAAAAAGGTAACACATTTTGTAATTTTGCTCTGTAGTTTCCAAATTATGTCATTCTGATAACACTAAGTTTGCAACACCTTCAAACAAGTTTACCTTAGACAGTATTGGTTGGTCTATTTAAACCATTTTAAGTCATGACACCCTCCGACGACATTACATAATATACGTTTTATACTTTATGTTCTGAATGTACACAAAATGAAAGAGAAGAAGCCAGAAGTCGATAAAAATCATAAGTCCAATAAAAACACCATAACCAATAAGACAAACGATAAGAACAAAACACTACACTGCAGAAAATAAAAGTTAGGCAACACGAACCCCACCAAAACCTGTGGAAGAATTCAGGTGCTCTGGAAGGGTATTCAGTTCCTGCTCTACTAATGGAGGGTATTCCCGAAACACACGACCTCATGTCGTCAATTGGTATTATACTTTTTTTGTTTATAAATCAACAAGTTCATGTTATTAGTTTGATATAACAAATTTTACCAATTTTACACTCACTAAGGCGAATTGTATCGTATGTTTTAATAAACTAAGGCGAATTGTATCGTATGTTTTAATAAACTAAGGCGAATTGTATCGTATGTTTTAATAAACTAAGGCGAATTGTATCGTATGTTTTAATAAACTAAGGCGAATTGTATCGTATGTTTTAATAAAGAGAAACAACATTTTGTAAATGCAACTTCTTGGAAATGAATATAACACTTTTTAGAATTTTTGGATCGAATACGCTAAGAACTAAATGACCTAAAGTAACATAAATATACGAACCTCACCAAAAACCGCGGTTGATTACAGGTGCTCCAGAAGGTAATCAGATCCTGCTCTACATGTGGCATCCGTTGTGTTGCTCATGTTAGTACAAACTCGGGGATAAGTCTAATTCGGTGATATCACTTTCGAAGTACATATAATGTCTTTTTAGTGATTGTTTATTTATTTTTATTATAACGAGAAGAGATGATGGAACATTTAGCTTCCATATATCAATACTATTAATCAATATCTAGGGACCAGCTTATTCTTCAATAAATGGTGTGATTTCTGCATGGTCACTTAAATCTGAAAAATCTAGAATGGTAACGCTTACATATGCAGGTAAGAATACAATAATTACGATTTTACAGTTTGTAAGTGACAGCCAATAAACTCATCATAGATACCATTGACACAAAAACTAAAAACCCAGAGGTTTATATACTTTCCCTAAAAAGAGAAACATTGCCATCTTTCTTTTTAGCATATTGCTGATGAGATCTGACTTGTCAATGATACTCAAACAATGACCATTAGCTAATAAATTGATTTTGAATGATTTAAATAATATTTGGGTAAATGAAGTTTGCGAGAGAGAGAGAGAGAGAGAGAGAGAGAGAGAGAGAGAGAGAGAGAGAGAGCAAAACGATATCATATCGTTTAAACCATTGATATGGTGCTATGTGAACTGTAAGGCATGCATACCATTCAATGCATTTCTAAACGGATGACGTCATATGTATATGAGGTATGATATGTGTAGTACTCATTTGTTTCAGGTTCATCATTAAGTTCAGCAGTAGCCTTTATCGTATCTGGTGCACTGTCATGTCGTGTTTGCTGGAACGCACCACTTTATTTTTATGGTAAGTATTACGTATTGTCCATCAGATTGTTAATATTTTTCATCAATAATCACTTGATATCAGTTATTAAAACACTGTACATTAAAACATCAGTTTTTGTTCTATTTTTTCAAAATTTCTGACACAACATTAAACAAAGCAAGTGCAGTTACTGACTTTCTTACTTATACTTATTTCTATTCAACAAAAGAATGTATATACCGGTCATTATGTACATTATTCTTTCAATCAGTTTAATTGAAGTCTGGAGCTGGCATGTCAGTTAACTGCTAGTAGTCTGTTGTTATTTATGTATTATTGTCATTTTGTTTATTTTCTTTGGTTACATCTTCTGACATCAGACTCGGACTTCTCTTGAACTGAATTTTAATGTGCGTATTGTTATGCGTTTACTTTTCTACATTGGCTAGGGGTATAGGGGGAGGGTTGAGATCTCATAAACATGTTTAACCCCGCCGCATTTTTGCGCCTGTCCCAAGTCAGGAGCCTCTAGCCTTTGTCAGTCTTGTATTATTTTAAATTTTAGTTTCTTGTGTACAATTTGGAGTTTAGTATGGCGTTCATTATCACTGAACTAGTATATATATTTGTTTAGGGGCCAGCTGAAGGACGCCTCCGGGTGCGGGAATTTCTCGCTGCATTGAAGACCTGTTGGTGACCTTCTGCTATTGTCTATTCTATGGTCGGGTTGTTGTCTCTTTGACACATTCCCCATTTCCATTCTCAATTTTATTATTGCATTTGCTCGACTGATTCACAAACTCCTGTTACTACAGTAAAACACCAAACTCGTATTTTATTGCATATAAAAAAAGTCTTACATACCCTGATAAAAATGGACATTTTTTTCAAATTTCCGTTCAAGATATGAGCTTTGTCTGGTCAATTAGGTGTCGTAAAGAATATATAAAGGTATTTTGCTATGAAAAGTTTTTGGACTTATTATTGAACATTTCTATATGAGTGTATTTTGTGTTTTCGCATGATTTTGTCCATCTCTCGACGACTTATTGATTCTCCCTTTGGTATCTTGATCTTATGTTAAAGTTAGTATAGTCAACTAAAAAGTTTTCAAAAACGTATAAGTCAATATTATTACATCCGAACATGTACTTACAGGCTGTTTAGGAATAGTATGGTTCGCTTTATTTATGTGTACTGTCAAGGACTCTCTATGCAACAATTTCAAAAACGTATAAGTCAATATTATAACATCCGAACATGTACTTACAGGCTGTTTAGGAATAGTATGGTCCACTTTATTTATGTGCACTCTCAAGGACTCTCTATCCAACAATTTCAAAAACGTATAAGTCAATATTATTTCATCCGAACATGTACTTACAGGCTGTTTAGGAATAGTATGGTCCACTTTATTTATGTGCACTGTCAAGGACTCTCTATGCAACAATTTCAAAAACGTATAAGTCAATATTATTACACCCGAACATGTACTTACAGGCTGTTTAGGAATAGTATGGTCCACTTTATTTATGTGCACTGTCAAGGACTCTCTATCCAACAATTTCAAAAACGTATAAGTCAATATTATTTCCTCCGAACATGTACTTACAGGCTGTTTAGGAATAGTATGGTCCACTTTATTTATGTGCACTGTCAAGGACTCTCTATCCAACAATTTCAAAAACGTATAAGTCAATATTATTACATCCGAACATGTACTTACAGGCTGTTTAGGAATAGTATGGTCCACTTTATTTATGTGCACTGTCAAGGACTCTCTATCCAACAATTTCAAAAACGTATAAGTCAATATTATTTCCTCCGAACATGTACTTACAGGCTGTTTAGGAATAGTATGGTCCACTTTATTTATGTGCACTGTCAAGGACTCTCTATCCAACAATTTCAAAAACGTATAAGTCAATATTATTACATCCGAACATGTACTTACAGGCTGTTTAGGAATAGTATGGTCCACTTTATTTATGTGCACTGTCAAGGACTCTCTATCCAACAATTTCGAAAACGTATAAGTCAACATTATTACATCCGAACATGTACTTACAGGCTGTTTAGGAATAGTATGGTCCACTTTATTTATGTGCACTGTCAAGGACTCTCTATCCAACAATTTCAAAAACGTACAAGTCAACATTATTACATCCGAACATGTACTTACAGGCTGTTTAGGAATAGTATGGTCCACTTTATTTATGTGCACTGTCAAGGACTCTCCATCCAACAATAAACATTTGTCCACAGCGGAACGATTGTTGTTTGATTCAGAACGTTGTTACACAAAGAAACCTTCGTCTCAGACGGTGGGTATACAGAATTAAGGTTTTCATGTATAAACAATGCTTTACATTTATTCTGTTCGCGTTTGTATCAAATTTAGAAAACAAGTTAAAAATACAGACATATTTTAAATCCGTGATGTTTTACATCAAATGAACACATTAGAATGGGAAAACATAGCATTGTCAAATCGTTGTCAACGAGACAGCAACCCAACAACACAAAAACTCAAAAGACATTTCTAAATCGATTTCCGCTCGTTACAGTAGATGTAGCAGGATTCAGACTGTAGATATATGCAATAAAACACCAAATATTAAGTAAAGAATGAAAAAAATACTCAAAGATAAAAAAAAAAAAAACAAAACAAAAACAAAACAAAACAAAAGAAAAAATTATTTAAAAGAGATGGCATGAACACTTAGGAAATATGTCAGCGTGAATTCAGTGTCATTCAGATTCAGATTCAGATTCGACATGGCAAGTATTTATTTTTTATACTTCAAAATATCAACACCCTTAAGATCTGTATGATGAAACACTAGTGTGGTCGACTTCGATTTGACTTCGACGACAGATCGTACGCCGATTAGAGGAACGAATATCGGTTAGAGACCGGACGTCGATCTAACTCTTAACATATAAACAATAGTTTAAAAGCATGAATTCAACTTTATGGCCTTTCTGTTTCTTTTTTATAGGTCAAAAGTATTCCCTGGAAAAATATTTTAACATCGGTTCCTGTGTCTGCTATTTTTGTTGCATGTTTTACAAGAAATTGGATGATATCCCTTGTCAGGACTGTTGTTCCTCAATACATGGAAGATTTGTTTGATCTCAGCATTTTTGAAGTAAGATTCAATATTAGTCTCTAAATAACTACATGAAAAAAGTGTCAAATAAAATGAATAAACCTGAAGAAATAAACGTCCAAATGCTGACAATTATGATAATAAGCTGGTTACCATAGCCCTATTTCGTTATCATGAATGATAATTATCATATTTAACCCGTATTGCCATTTTTCAGTCACGTTTCAGTTAGAAATAATTTTTTGTTGCCTGTCTTTTTATGCCAATTGGGTCATCGACATCGAAAAAAGAGACAAACTAAAAGTCACCAAAGGTACAATCAAAAACCAAAAGCAAAAAACGTCAGCAGTCCACAATAAATTACAATACCATTAAAGACCGAGCAACACAAACACCACAAAAACCGCAGGTGCTCAGGAAAAGTTAAAAGATCCTTCTCCACTTGTAGTATCCTCTGTATGCTAATGACGAGTGCAAATTTGTTGAAGGCTCATTCAGTAATGTCACAATGGAGGAAAAACAAGGACAGGACTGTGGCTACGACACGTAATATATAGCCGTGGTCATCCGTGACGCAGATACTCTATAACAGCCCACCAAATCATGATAGCATCAGTTTTTTTCGAAGGGATGACTTAAACTTTACCATACTAAACACTTGTTTCAATAGCTTTACTTTTAAGCAGCAACCATCTATCACCAATTGTCAAATGACAGAGTGATTCTAAATGTTTGCCTATGTAAAAATATAACCAATTTTCAAATTTCCATATTTTTGCTGTACATGTAAATAAACATAAATGCATGTATATACATTTATCATAAAGGTCATGAGTTTTTACTAAATGGTTAATTTTATGAAGAGAAAAAAATCCATATATGTTCCACTGTTTGACGGACGTACATTTTCATTGAATGCCTAATTAATAAAATATATTTAATTATTTTCATATAGATAGGATTACTGTCTTCCCTATCAGCTATATGTATGGCATTAGTTACTGTTACTGGAGGAGTAATGATAGATAAACTCATAAAATCTGACTGTGTTAGTACTACTGTAGGGCGCAAAATAGCCCAGTGTTCTGGTAATTATAAATTTAAATTTGACATTAAATACTGTCATCAAATTATTCTAATTTGAATAACAAATGCTCGACTTACTAAAATCTACAAGTTTTGCTCCTTAAATCTTCCTTATATTATATTTTGATGCCATTGTTGTGCACATGTCTTTTTCTTTTACTATTATTTTTATAGGCTCTGTCTGGCCTATTGTTTATTTTTTCAGTTTTTTTTTGACAAAACATCTCTTTAGGATATTATATAGAAAAATTGTGTGACTTTTTTATTTATACAATTGATACATAATTTTGTAGGTTATGGTATTGAAGGAATATGCATATTCTGTCTAGGTTATATACAGGATATTGATGCGGCCATGGTTATGCTATGTGTTGGAGTTGGTGCTAGTGGGTTAGCAGTTTCAGGTAAATGGTAATATTAAAACAAAATCATTGAAGATATCTAATTCACATCATTTCTGTAGATTATAATTTATCGTTATCCTAGAGATTGAAAACCATTCACACTAAAAAGTTTAATCGTTGTCTGGAAATCAAAAACAATCTTATACAATAGCCAAAACTCAATAGGCAACATATCAATGATTGATAAAACATAACTTATATGTTTCATATGTTGAAAAAAAGTAAATATCTACTAATATTACGACCAAGTTATATCGCTATTGGTTATGCAATCCACACTCCTTGTATAAGCCAATCTAGTTGTCCCATTTATTGCAAATTTAGAAATCAGTGCATGAATTTATTATTGCTTTTCCTGAACAAAGGATACAAATGCGAAATTAATTATTGCGATTTTAGGAAATGCTGAGTTTTTATTTTTGAGACGCATATCTTTTTGAACATTTTCTTTCCTTAATTAGAAACACAATATGTTAAAAACAAAATGCTGAAAATAAAAAGACAAAAGATATATAATACATACTTTTTTCTGTCAAAAGTTAACGTTGAGAGTCGTCTACTTACAACAAGTTTGCGTGTTTTAATATCCTATGTTGATAATTAGTTTACCAGTTCATGGTTAGGAAAATCCTATTGACAAAAATTTTTGAATTTTTTTTTTAGATATGAATTTATTTTCTATATATCAACAGACCTGTGATCGAAAGAACATATCGATGTGTAAAACAGTCCTATAATTTAAAAAGTTGATTGGTTTGAATTGAGAGGATGTGTAAAATCTTTACAAACTGTAATGTCGTAAATGCGTTACTTGTTTTTGCATTATTATTGATTCTGGTTGTTTGCTGTATTTAATCCAAATTATTATTTCATTCTTTTAAGCCTTAGGGAATCACAATCTTTGAAACATGTGAAATATTTATATATGCAAAAGAAAAACAAAGACGAACAAAGAAAAAAAAAACGAAAAACAAAAAGTAAGAGTAGAATAAAGCGTTATTCCCATTCTAACTAAAACAATGTATTCATGGGAGTTTAGAAATCTTAGTTATTCGAATAATTTAACATTTTGTAAATAGTAAATTTACAGAAAATATGCGTGTCTATGATATTTCATGTCATCACAATTGTGCAAACTACTGGGCTGGCGATACCTTCGTGAATAAATATCATCTGAAGATTAGTCAACCTAGCATTTGTGAACTCACCAAAAATATTATACATAGTTTTGAATGGAGCTGCGCGTTTCGTGTACATAAGGCTTGTAAGTGGCGTTTGATTGAAAATAGTTAGAGGTGGTATTTTAAAAACGAAGTTGAAGAGCATTGAAATTCCTAAATATGTTTACTAACCATGTTATACAATCTGATTGTCTTAACTCCAAGTGTAATAACGCAGATTTTTACGCGTGCAAAAAGTGTAGGTTCTATGTTTGTAATGTTAACAGTGTCATAAGCACCACTGTTCATCGTTTGTAAATATTTTTTTCCTGGGGGTTTGAATTCGAACTCGTAGTCAAAGCAGTGTGTGAATTCTAAATAAATACACTTTTGTATAAAACCATATAGGTAAAACCTTAATATTTGATATTAACGTAGACGTTAACAACTTGTATTTATATCTATTCGTGCACTTAAAATTCTAAGGTAACTCTCAGACTAATTTCTTTGGGAATAAGAATCAGTACCATTGTCATTCCAACGTTTATTTTTTCGTACTTTTGTTTGTCTTCTGGTCTTTTTCTATTTTTGCCATGGCGATGACAGTTTATTTTCGACTTAGGAGTTTGAATGTCCCTTTGGTATCTTTAGCCTCCATTTTATTAAGTTAATAAAGTGGACGTAGACGAACGAGTAAATATAATATATGTATGTTTAAAGATTTGTATAGTAAAAAAGAAAGGAGACGGGATATCCATCCATGACACTAAATCAGTATATGCACAGCAAAAAAAACCCACAAAAACGAAAGGAATATAGTCGTGGTTTAGACTGAGAAAAGGATATAACAACTTCAATAATTTGAACACTGTATTAAGTGTATTATAAGTGAGAAACGATGGCTTTATACATCTAATTCATACTTTTGTAAAAGTGGTTTGAATTCCATTATAAGAACCACAAGCTTTTATAACGTGTAGAAGTTCATAAAAAATAACTCCAGTGTGAAAATATAAGAAATTTTGTATATAGTTTTTAAGGACGTTAGTCGTCTAGCAGTACTAGTATTTCCAATCTCTGGAAGAAGGAGAATATACCAAGGATATTTTTAGCCTATTATATCTAAATGAATTTAAGTGCATATTTGTTTACAAAAACTTATAATTTGCAGGGTTTAAATCAAATTCCCTAGACCTATCATCCGCCTATCATCGTCAGCATTGTGACCGGAATAACCAGAATGGGTATAACTGGAGCTACAATAAGTACATTATTGGTATCCCTTCTACGTAGTAGAACACAGGTATATTCCAAATTCGTTTTTAGCTTCTGATTATAACCATCGATTTGATTCTTTTAGCATGAATGTTTTAAATACATTTAAAACCTAATAACCATGCAAAAGAATTAGTTTCTTCGATATACAGTTTACAAATGGAAATTAATATTTGTGAATAGTCAAATCTTAAGACCAAATTTGAAATTAAAAACAAAAAACAACAAAAAGAAAATTAGACTATGTTATTTTCATACTTGTAGATGCAGGTTTGAAGCGATTGATTATATCGACCTACATCAGAAAAGCAAGTTGTTAAATAAAGGCTAACAAAAAAGTTGAATTAACGTATGTTGGTTTTTTTTCGCGATTTGATGATAAAATGGGTCTCCTTCATATCTTTATCTTTTCTTTGATATTGAAACAGATGGACGACTTCAAACTAGAATCTTTGACGAACGAGATAATTTCAAAGGAGAGGCGAAAGATACCAAACGGACATTTCGACTTTCGAATTGTCAACTTTCCAATTCTCAGCAGTAACATACCCTCTCCCCATCGTATCGCGTTTATATATCTCAATTAGTGCTTAAAACTCTGGCATGTTCATACTACATAGATTTCATTACAGGAATGTGCTCCTTCCACCAAAAAATGCTCCAACAAAGCTATGAGGAAGAACACCTGAAATCCACACAACATTAGTTTTACGGCCACCATCGCGAATCCGTTAACCGATACGATGTTTCTGTGACTCTACTCACCTTACCAATTGTGTCCTATTCTTGATTGTGACAATTTCTCTGAGTATGGATTTGCATGGAGGCTGATGAATGCATAGCTGAAAATGTTGACCACGTCGACGCACTCGGTCTTGCTGCTTTTGGAGTTTATGCGATTCCCTTGGTTTTTGTTTGTGACCTTAATTGTCCCTTAATTTATTTACGATATTTTAGCATCGGTAAACCACTGTTGGCATAATTTAGTTAGTATCAAACTCTCCTATGTGTTTTGTATTTTTTGACAGGTTTCATTGATCACTACCTGGAGAGAAGTTTTTATGGTGGCTGGTTGTTTACATATCGCTGGTGTGATATATTACGGTATTTTTGCATCAGGCGAAAGACAGCCGTGGGGCGACGGTGTTCCAGAAAGTAACATTTTGGATGTGATTAACCAGCCGTCAGACACAGACTATAAAAAGTTCAAAAACGACAGCGAGAATGACAATTTTGTTCATAAACTAGCAAGTTATGAGTCTACTTAGCGACGCTGAATGTCGTTGTGAAGTAAAACAACACCTTATAATAGGAATATTGTGAGCACATTAGTAAGATAAGATCATGGATGTATTTAGGTAAAATCAACACATACAGTCAATAACTCATGTGATGTGTTGATGTTGTGTTTCTTTAAAGAACTAATTAAAACAAAATTTCCTTTTGATTCGAATTGATGTCAGTACATGTACATCAACGAACAAGCTTCGAACAACTTGTATATCAATTGTTTAAGTAAATATAGTTTCTCTTCTACAGAGAGTTTGTCTTGGCGACATTAAGCGCTGTAATTAGCCGACATATTGTTCCTAGATTCTAATTTTCGTTCTTATCCGTGTAATGAGATGTAACATTTTGCTTTACTTTTTTGACATTTTTTTCTTATTATCTAACATGTTTTTGTATATTGCATTACACCGCAGTTTAATTCTTTCATGTATGAACTTTTACACACATTATAAGGACTGCAAATGACTAATGCAAAACAACTGTTTTTACATGAACAGTATTTGAAACCGAACATGTCCATGCTTTCACTTTTGACCAGAATATATAAAAATAAAAAAATGTGGTATAATTGCCAATGAGACAACTCTCCACCAGAGACCAAATGACGTAGAAGTTAACAACTATAGGTCACCGGAGGGCCTTCAACAATGAGCACAACCCATATCGCATAGTCAGCTATAAAAGGTCCCGAAATGCCAAATGTAAAACGATTCAAACGAGAAACTGGTCTAAGTGGGATAAACTTTAAGTAAATTTTTATTTACAAAATCGTTTTTTGTTTCGCATTGAGCTTCATATAACTTGTTATGTATATATCTTTTTGACATGTAGAAACTTAAACAAAACAAAGAAGTGTCGTTCTGATTATACCCGAATCAATTGCCGCTAGATGAAAACAAACAATTGTTTGTTTTAAAATTCTGAAATTTTCCTTAAAAAGGAAAATGAAATAACGTTATAACATGGCATCGTCAGTTTGTTTTCGATTTACGAGTTTAAATATCTCTAGTATCTTTCGCCTCTGTACATGTATATTTTAGTAGTATAAACAAGTCTAAATTGAAAACAACGTTCAAACCTATGATTGCGTTGGATAAAAACTGCAATTTTTATACGTTTGCATACAAAACAAATTTCTTGGTAGAGGGGTCTAAATACAGCACAAACAACATTTTCCAAAAGACCCAAAAAAGTGAAAAAGTATATTTAAACAAAACGCATTTGACTAGCAGGTCGAACAACGGATGTTCTTAAACCCTGCTGACTGCCATTGGCGAATGCCAAATAAACGGATCACCAGATGTAACAAAACGGATTTAAACTACTAATTTAATACTAAACAGAAAACAATAAACTTGCGGAAAAGATGGTATACCACAAACAAAAGGTGCAAAAATTAGTAAACCATATCTTAATTTCGACAATTAATGTCTCTTCAGTGATGTTAGGAATCGAAACGGTATTTGGAAGGCCATATAATTTACCTCAATTTAGGAATATACATATTTTAGTAGTACATGTATATATATGAATAAACGAAAATGTTGAGTATTTGTGAAAAAGACATCAACCATCCGACACAGAGAAACATAAATAAAGGCAACAGTAGTATACCGGTGTTCAAAAGTCATAAATCATTTGAGAGAAAACAAATCCGGATTACAAAATAAAACCGAGGGAAACACATCAACTATAAGAGGAAAACAAAGGAACAACAGGAACACTGAAGTGCAACAAAAACAAACGCCAACATAATTGATTTTGATAACAAGACATTAGAAAATTACATGTTTAAAAATTAAAAATAACAATGTGCGAAACATTCACATATGTAGATTCTTACTAAAATGTCTAATGAATACCAGACAAAACAAACTTAAAAGTACCATGTATTATTAAATATAACATGAGGAGATGTGGAATAATTTTCAGTGAGACAATTATCCAACAGATTATAGCAAATGAAACTGATTTAAGCAATTACAGCAACTGTATATGTGACCATATGGCCTTCAACAATGAACAGAACCAATACTATATACCCAGTTATAAAATGCTCTGACATGACAACATGTGTAACAATTCAAACAAAAACACCAACGGCCTGATTTATGACAAAACAATAAACGCCAGTTATGACACAGAAAAAAAAATCAATGACAACTTTTAAATTATAGGCCCCTTGCTTGGGATTTGCTTTAAGACTGTCAAGTGAGTACGAAGATACGACTATTATATTTAATATAATGTATCAATTAGTCTGATCCACATCTTATCGTTCAGCCCAATATGTCGTTATGAAAAACAACTCATCAGAGATACATGTAGCAGGTTTATAATTTGTTACGCCAGACACGTGTTTTTTACATAAGACACAGTAGTTGCACTGGAATCAAAACAGTTGGAAGGTAATTCATATATAAAGTTGAAGAGCATTGAAAACCAAAATTCGAAAAAGTTGTACCAAAACTGCTAGTCAATCTATGCCCGAGAGAAGACATACCTTAGTATTTTAAGTAATTCTACATTTTATAAACAGTAAATTTACTGAAAATACCCATATCAATGATATTTCATGTCAAAACATAAGTGCTGACTCCTGGAATGGTGATACACTCGGGGACAAAACGTCCACCACTAGTGGCATCGACCAAGTGTTTTAAAAACTCAATAAAGATACAAGGCTAATAATTTGTAACGCCAGACGCATGTTTCGTCTCTATAAGATAAGTTGAAGACCATTTTTAAACAACGAAAATTCCGGATATATTCAATGTATGCATCGGAGTAGACAAACTATAGTATTTCGAGTATTTCAACATTTTATAAACAATAAGTTTATAAAAAATTAGCATATCAATGATATTCCATGTCAAAACAAAAGTGATCTCTTCCACTACCACTAGAAACCCACTTTTGGTGATTTATATTACCAACGTACGATACAGGTCAATATTTCCACCTAGATGGTCCATTACGATATCAGAACAAATCTTGATATGTATTGAAGATTGTACAGAAAAACAGAACGGTATTGTATCAATTGAGATACAAGAAAACATTTAAATACCAGAATTCTGTCAAATGAAATCATGGCTATTTCTTCACATCAAAAACCAATATGTAACCGTCATTGGTTTAGGCAGTGAAGCGATGCAAATGGTTGTCATATTTCACAATTGGCCACCTATAGCGTGATTTAAAATTCTTTATTGCATTCAATATAAACACACGATGTAAAATTAACTGCACATCTACACATGGTTAAAAATATTATTATATACCAATATACAAGTGATAGAGGTGCATATGAAATCTAGATAACAACATTTCCATTTCAACATTTCACCCCCAAAAAATGACAGAGATGCAGCATGGGCATTTTTGCACGTTAATTGTTTCAATTGTTCTAGCCACAAACGATTCATCTTTCCCCCGAATGTAACCTACCGAATTAAAAATACCATAAATCGACGAAAGACAAAAATGGAAGAACAGACAAACAAGTCATCAAAACATTACAAAGCAAACTTAAAATTTATAAGCGAGTGACACAAACAAATATAAGTGTTAATTCACCTACCTTATAAACATTAGTTAGTTATTGAGAAGAATTTGGTTTTCATATGTATTGAAACAACGTCTATCAAACTTCCAAAGATGTTGTCACGTAAAGAGAGGAGAAAGATATCAAAGGGACATTCAAACTCATAAGTCGAAAATAAACTAACAACGCCATAGCAAAAAAAAAGAAAGAAAATGACCAAAAGACACACAACAGTATACAAAATAAAACATAGAAAACTAAAGATTGAGCATCACGAACCCCACCAAAATTTGGGGGTGATATCAGGTGCTCCGGAAGGGTAAGCAGATCCTGTTGCACATGTGGCACCTGTCGTGTTGTTTATGTAGCAACCCTCTATCAAGGAAATCATGATAGAAAATACAAGCACCGGAATAAAGTATCAACTCGGATATTTATACTTCGTATGCAGGCGTTGTTGAAATGTTGCTACATAGAAATGGCAAATTAAAAATTGGGAAGCTGAAATAATCTCTTTTGTCGTAAACTTTTGTTTTCAACCGACCCTCATTGTCAAATTCTAGGTGTAAGTCAAGATATGAGGCAGACTTAATTGTATCTGTTGTATCCTTTATCTCAAGATTGATGGAATAGATGCGTTCAACATAGTTACCAAATTTTGAAATATTTAGTCAGATAACTATATAGCGGAAAGTGAAATCAAATATCTTGATAGTTTCAGTTTCACATAGCTATACTATGTGTATATAATAGTTGGCTAGTTGATGCGGTTCGTGTTTCTCAGTGTTTAGTTTTCTATGTTGTGTTTTGTAGACTGTAATTTGTCGTTTCTTCCTTTTTTCCATTTTTTGCCATTGTGTTATCAGTTTGTCATCAAGCTATGAGTTCGATTATCCATTTGGTATCTCATGCATTCTTTAATTGATGAATAACATTTGAGGAAATACAATTTCATTGAAAATGCTATTTAAGAACCTCGTCGCAAATTGTTATTTGATCGCATAAGCATATTTAATTTTAAAAGATAAACGTATTGCATATATGGCAAAAAAGAATAACAAATGATAAACAAGAAGCAACAAAAATACGATAAATGAAGATTTAGAGACAATTTGATTAGAAAAATGCACATACTTAAAGTCTTTTTTAAAACAATAAAAGCATTGCAAGCAAAATGATTTATATTCCGACTGCTCGATAGTTGCACCTGCTGTTAAATTGTAAGGCCGAAATTTCGTAAAAATAGGTCCTCCGAACGAAATGGAACGCAAACTGTACCTAACCTTTATATCCTTATAAACATGATATTATCTTTAAGGTGGCACGGTAGTATTTACATTCCGGAATTTTGGTTGCTCTTTTGTGTACCTACTTAAGTCAATGTATCTTAACAGTGTGATTGGACAAAAAATACAGTATCAACTGAACATACTTTCCCAAACTGAGGGATGAATCAGGTGTAGAAAAATATGAAATAATTTTACATACAGGTGAAAATGTGAGAATTTTTTAAAATTTTGTATACACTGCACGATAAAAGACCTAAAAGCACTAGTGATCTTAGTTTTTTAAAAATAGTAAAAAAGTAAACGGTCATGATATATATTCAAATTCATTTCTGAATATTATAATGAAAGTACTTCAGTTAACTGTGTATGTAGATTTTTTGGCAGTGTTAGAAAGTGGTGAAAATTTTAAAAAGGCTATCATTTTCCCTATGTGCCAGGAAATACTACCGTGCCACCTTAACTGGAATATATATGTTTACACTAAATAAATAAAGGTATTTTTTTTTACCTATATAATTTGTAAGTTTATCAATGAAAAGTTGATTAAAGGCAGCTAGGAATAAAACAGCCCTTAAATTCCACCCTGGGAGTTCAAATTGCTGATTCAGTTAATTTTGCCTGACCTGTGGGTAATAATGTCAAAATTTACATAGAAAGTAGAACTTTATAATTTTTATGTAACTTGCAATAAATTTTTGATTATAAATGCTCGCTTTAACTTTTCGCAGTGTCTGACACATGTGCAACAAATGGAATTTGAGGCGCGATACATTTTACTTGCCTGTACGTCTTATAATTTTCATCGAAATAAAGTGCATAATTTCTTATTCTTTGCAAACAAGTACAGCTATACTTGCTTTCTTCAGGTTTAATTTGTAGTTCTGTGGTAACATGACACCAGTATGAGCTTTTTGTTTGGAACCAGTAAGTGGTTAAGGGGTCCTTACTTATTCAATTAGCCCTCAGATTTAGCTGAAATAGAGATAACATTAGGGTTCCTTTACATTGACATGACAATTGTTTTGGATAAAGAATGTGATAATGATTGTATGTCAAATAGATTAAATAGTTTATTCATTTTTCATGCAAATGTCATGAATTGTTTTGATTTTCTGACTATGAAAAGCACAAAAAAGGTAAATTGATTATGTAAGGGGACATAATTTAACTTAATGCATACATCAGAAAGAGACAAACAGTCAACTTAGAGATATATTCTAGTACATGTATTGTCAAAAGAATATTAGAACATTAGTTAACTGCCATCTTAGGAATCTTGTCATGTTGCCTACATAATCTGGAAATGCTTAAAGGAATATAAGGCATGCTGTAAAATGTGGAATGGGCCTTACTATCTTTTTTCATGATTTGGTACTTATACTGTTTCCTTCAGTCAGATTAACTAGAAATAGAATTGGCAATCCCATAATTCCTCCTGAATCACCATGTTTTACTTCTGTGTTGATTTGAAACATCATATATTTGGGTTTTGTTCACTCCTTAAGTAAAAGTGGTAAGGAGATAAAAAAGTAAAAATCTGCCAGCTGGGGTAGGGGTATGATCTTTTAATTTTTTTTGGGTAAGAAATAAGTGCAGACTACTATTCTTTATTGCAATATGTGTCCTAGTAAGAAGTCTATGCAACATAGGTGTCATGACTGGTTTCAAGTTTGTGATGTCTTTGTTAAGGTGGCATGGTAGTATTTACATTCCAGAATTTAGGTTACTCTTTTGTTTACCCTACTTAAGTCAATGTATCTGAACAGTGTGATTGGACAAAAAATACAGTATCAACTGAACATACTTTCCCAAACTGAGAGATGAATCAGGTGTAGAAAAATATGAAATAATTTTACATACAAGTGAGAATGAATTTTTGAGAATTTTTTTAAATTTTGTATTCACTGCATGATAAAAGACCTAAAAGCACTAGTGGCCTTAGTATTTTAAGAATAGCAAAAAAAGTAAATGGTCATGATACATATTCAAATTCTTTTCTGAATATTATAATGAAAGTACTACTGTTAACTGTGTATGTAGATTTTTTGGCAGTGTTAGAAAGTGGTGAAAATTTTAAAAAGGCTATCATTATCCCTATGTGCCAGGAAATACTACCGTGCCACCTAAAAGCTACAGACATAACGAAATTGAAGACTTGATAATTGTTGGATTTAGGCATGATGGAATAGTTGACATGTGTTGTACTATATTAATGACTCAATAACAGAGTTGATTCAGAGATAGTGATAAACTAACATAGAGAACATCTTTGATATCACTGGACACGACAAATAGGTAAGTAGTCCAGATCGTTCTATAATGTAAGTCAATACGATAAGACACGACCGACTTCGCTCATCCATTGATTGAATATATATATAGAAATTACGGTAGGATTCATTTTGCTTAGTGTTATTCTTGGTATGCTAAATTTTGATTATTTTGTCTTACGCTATAAATAGATAGAATTTATTACTATAGGCAGGTGTTAGTTCCATGACATTTACATTTTTTACCAAGTCCAAAAAATTTCAGTGCTGACGCAAAGAAATGAGATTAGATAGAAACTCGTCTGTTTTCTAGTCGGTTGATGCCTTTTTGCAATCACATACTATTTCTCTTATATTGTTGTTGATCAAACTGGATCAAAACAGTCGTTTCACAGGAATTTATTCCTTACTTCGTCACCTCATTACACGAGGATTCTAATGGAGAATATGATTCTCTTTCGTCACCATATCGACTTCAAAAAGAGAAGCGAAAGATAACAAAGGGACATTCAAACTCACAAGTCGAAAATAAACTGACAACGCCTTGCATTGTCAAAAAAAGAAAAAGACCAAAAGACAAACAACAGTATACAAAACACAACACAACTGAGCAACACGAACCCCACCAAAATAACGGGGGAGGGGGGGATGATATCAGGTGCTCTGGAAGGACAAGTAGATCCTGCTCTACTTTCGAGGAAAAGGAGGCCGGGATTGTGATTAGGATGATTGGAACATATCCGTATTCATCCGTCAAACATATTCCATAACGGTCAACCAATTCGTGATGGCGTCCGAAACATTTTCGAAGGGATGATTTCAACTCCACCACTTGGAACTGGTTTAATAGCCAAGTGTGAATTCGCATTGCTATACGACGTGGCTCGGTATTTTTTGACATATATTTTGTACAAATCATTATTTTCATTAATTTCCAAATTTGAATAAAACAATTCAAATAATAAAATTAAGTTAACCAGGACCACAATTAACCGAAATACATTTATGCAGTCTCCAACGCTAGTTCTACTCTTACACCTGTACGTGTATATACGAACAGACTATTGTCGTTAACATTGTAAAGATTTCACGGCAGTTGGTTCTCTATACAACATTATCCATATCTCCAAATTTAAAGTGTTTACGTTGTAGCGAAAAATTTACAAATTTTCTATTTTTGTTTTTCTTGTGTGAAAAATACTATAACATGAAAAAGACAAGCTGTCATTTGTTTGCATTTTGCGGGACAAAAACTTGTCCTTGAAATACACAGTAACAGTTTACGTTACAAATTTCTTGTCTGTCATAAGTAATTTTCAATAAAATTGAGAATGGAAATGGGGAATATGTCAAAGAGACAACAACCCGACCAAATAGCAAACAACAGCCGAAGGCAACCAATGGGTCTTCAACGCAGCGAGAAAATCCCACACACAGAGGCGGTCCTCAGCTGGCCCCTAAATAAAATTGTGTACTAGTTCAATGAAAATGGACGTCACCCTAAACTCCAAAACATATAAATGAACTTAAATTTAAAAACATACAAGACTAACAAAGGCCAGAGGCTCCTGACTTGGGACAGGCTGTATGAATAGTGTATATAATCGCATAATACATTTCTAAAACAACTTAAAAAAGACTGAAATTGTTTATAAAACATCAATTTTAAAGGATAAAAAGTAAAACTTCATATTTGTTTAAATCGTTCTGTACTTTTGACTAGTTCAGCCTGGCATCTATTACAGAACTTATTATTTAATTGTGTCATACAGAATATGAAAACATTTGCAATGAATATTTCTGAAGGGAAAAACTTCTAAATTTGATAATTTAATGATCCTTAGAATTCCGTTGACAGTTAAAAATGTTCGGCTCTCTTCACTTTATTTACAAACAGTCTTTTAAAACATACGTGTCCTTACCAAATCGATGTTCCTTTAAAAATCGTATTCCAAATATATGTGCTGCATTCCATGTAAAGCCTTTTTGTTTTCTCTATAAGCGTTTACTCACGCTCTGTGTCCAAATGGTTGGCGTCATTTTCAAGACTCATGTTTTCTGCTGAAACAAGAAAAAATGAACTGGAATGATGCCCAGGTAGGTACTATATCATCTGACAATAAATATCACAAACAACTGATAAAAATATCGAGTTTTAAGTTCTCTATCAAGAAAAAATATGTAGATATTTGTTTTACTTTTATAATAACTTTTTCTATTAGTTTTTTTTCTTAAGACTTTTTTTTTATTTCTATCAAACGTTATGTAGTTATTCATATGTTAATGTATCTGTTGACTTTCATTCAATCTCAAAAGGGGGGGAGGGGGGAGGGGAAACAAACAAAAAATCGTTGAATCACGCTTCCTTTAGTCCGTCTAAAATCAAAAGAAATAAAAATCTACATATACATCGTTGTTTTCTTGTTTTTGTACATAAGATGTTGGCTATCTGTCTCATAGACATACCAAATTTTCATATCTTTTATTGATATATCTATATACATGTATGATAATTAAGTAGGTTGTTTGCTCGGATGATATGTACGGCCAAATGTTATTTAAGATCTTTTACTCAACTTTAACTTATACACACAGCTGACCTGAGCCTTATATATTAATAATTCGTTTGATTACAATTGTTAAAGGGTAGGTTTAAAATTGTAAAAGTCTTTTCCTGGAAAATAAAGTTCATTTGTTAAAAACTGGAGTACCTCTATCATATACAAATCACAAATAAAACGAGAAACATTTCATTGTATTGAAGCATGCCTGTCAGGGAATCCATGCAAGACTTGCCGAAGTGCAGACTCAAGAAAAGGTGGAATTCTTAAGGAATATGTTATCAAAAGAGAATGGAGGTAAGGTTATTGCACTGATTGAGTAATCGTTAGATGGCTATCGCGAAACGGACAATATCCAAACGTTATTTGGAACTTGTTTTTGTAAGGTGCTTGTTCAATTTATGGAAGAATTGGGTTAGAAATTTTTATTTTCACTACGCTAGCTCATGGAGACGGTGGTCCGAAGCGGTCTAACAAGGCCACACACTAAATGTCAATCCGAATGTCCAATGCGTGTATTTTGAGAAAAATGCTAGTTTAGAGTTTAGTGTGACGTCCATTTTCACTGAACTAGTACACAACTTTATTTCAAAACGTATATAAATCATGAGTGTACTTTAATTTTTCAAAATCACATTATGTCGTATTTCTCAACTTGCTTGCTTAAATTTTCACTTTCCCTAGGATTTTAGCAAATATTTGAATATATACTTGTATCCAAAAACATATTTAGGAGATTACAAGTTAAAACAAACGTTTTATAGAAAGTTAAAATACATTGTTCCACATTCTCAAATGCAAACGGTAGTCATCACTGCGTTGACTTGAATTATCATTGATATGGTCTTAATTATAAATTAACTTTTGACAATTTTTGAACTCTTTTACCCCAAGAAAAGATTACCTTAGCTATATTTGGCAAATTCTTTCGAAATTTTTAGTCCTCAATGCTGTTCAACTTCGCACTTTATTTGGTCTTTTTAACTTTTTGATTCGAGCGTCACTGATGAGTCTTTAAAAGACGCAAAATCTTCAGCCTGGTATCTATGACGAGTTAATCATCAGCTGTTGGTCAAAACAAATAAAACTTAAAGGGAACTTTTAGTCAATCCAAATCGTTTATAACTAATATCAATATTTATCTTAACGATTTTGAACATACCTGTGATAAACAGGAAAACTGCTATATGATAATAAAATCCATTTATGTCTGGAGAATGCGATAGGTGATAGCTATGTAATTTTAAACCTTAATCAGAAAACGGTTATATGTTCAAAAATAATGATTATACACTAAATTGTACGTGTCGTTCTCCTTGATAATATTTAACTTCAGCGATGAACCTTTTGGACACTTTTATAACATTAAATATGTCTTGCCTTATAGATTATCGTGTCTATTTTCTTGTATTCTGCTACATGTTCTTATTTTAGATTGGTGGATAGGGGCAAAGGATGACGTCAAAGAAGGCCAATGGCGTTGGGCATCCGGCGAACTGTTCGATTACACCGACTGGGCTCCTAATGAACCAAACAATGATAGGGACCAGGATTGTCTACAGATGTATAAGACAGACCAGTATCACTGGGATGACGATCACTGCTCTACAGCCAAGCATTTCATCTGTGAAAAAGGGTAAGAAGTTCTAGTAAAAAATTAAAAATCGATTTTAAAAATTATATGTATTTTTAAAAAGTTTTACATAAACAGGTTTTTGGAATCATATGCGTGTATGCATCAATTGCAAATGTGTGTGTGAAAATACCCAAACAAAAAGAGTTAATAAATTTAATCATTGGTATGGTTTGACATTATTTTGAATGTGTAATAATAATTTTCCCGACGACTTGATTAACTGCTATGGAATACCTTATGTATATCACACCACGTGCACGTCAATGTTTCGAGTGTAGTTATCATATTTTGTTATTCTCAACTTGTTAATGATTTTTTTATTGTGATTCTTGTGAGCAACAGAACATCATAACAGATAAAGATTCAGTTGAAGTAACTTTTACTTTAAGTTTTTATTTAGATTAATGGTGATTTTTTACAAATATTCTTTTCCTCTTCATCCTGTCGTCAAACGTTTGATCTTTACATTCTTTTGAACCCCGATTTATTATCATCATTCTAGTACTCTTACAGTTGTCTTAAAAAGAACAAAGATAATTTTTTTCTATTTATCTATCTGGTTTCTCCTCAGTGTATTTCACCTATCAAAACTACTATGTTGATTATGAGCAATGCGTGTTATTTCTACTGTAACACGAAATCATTGTACGTTTTCTTTGCGTTTACAATGTATATTGTTTTTTTTTATCTATTTTGTTTGATTTAAATTTTGTTCAACAGCTTATTGTGTTTCCTTCTCTCTTTGTAATACGTTACGCAAGTATAAACAGACTTCATTAACAGGGTTGTTACCCTAAAACAAAAACTCATCCAGCAGGGTCACTGAAATCGACACTACGCAAGGTTTGCAGTCACCATCACACAAAGGTTGGCCTATAATAAATGCTTGTGTCTTCACTCACGAGAGACAAGCTTTCCAGTCTTATATTCTAAGATTCCAGATAAGTCATCGATATGTAAAATCCCGATTGTGTCATATTCTCTATCGTGACTTTTTGACTAATTTGGAATCACATGACGGGTGATGAATGTTTTGCAGGAGAAGCTTACCCTGTCGACGCAGTCGATCTGGCTCCGTATTGATTTTTTCAAAATACGAATCTCTCAGTTTTATTTATCCTGCTTTGTATATTTATAATATATTTATGTCGCTATTCTACTGTTGACTCTTGCTTGTTAAATTACATTGTTATTTTATCTTATTTATCTTTTCATATAACAATTTATTTTATTTTTATTGCAGCTTTAATACAACGTTACCGGTTATTGGATGATTGTGTTGCCTTAATTTATATATACAATAAACATCATAGCTTGTTCTGTTTTCCTCACCACTTTTATTGCACCCACTCTTTTTATTATGCAGCTTAATCTGCATAATTTTAATTATTGCATTGTTTCAATCCAAATATACTCTCAATTTTTTTTGCCTTATTGTTTTTTTTTAAGTGACGGGTTAGTATACAAAAAGATATGATTGCCAATGAGACAACTATCCGCCAAAATTCAAGTAAAGTGGATGTAAGCAATTATAGGCAACCGTACGGCCTTCAACAATAAAAAAAATCCATACCGTATAGTTGACCATAAAAGGCCCCGACATGAAAAATATGATACAATTCAATTGAGAAAACTTACGGCTTAATTTATAACAAAACAATATACGAAAAACAAATATGACAGATGTCAATCAACGACAACCACTGAACAACAGGCTCCTGACTTGGGACAGGCACTTAAAGAATGTGGTGGGGCTAACCTAACCCTCCCCCTAACCTGGGACATATTGATCAACCAACTCGTGATGGCGTCCGTAAAAGTTACGATGGGATGATTTCAAGTTCACCACTTGGAACTCTTGGTTTAATAGCATCCTTGTGAGCAGTAACCCTCTCTTACGAAAAAATATGATAGGAAATACCAGCCCAGGAATATCGTATCAACTGGGAGATATATACTCCTATGCAGGAGCTGCTGGAAAGTTGCCACATAGAAATCAAAAGTTCACAATTGGGAAGCTGAAATCATCTCTTTTGTCGTAAAGTTTTGTTTTCAACCTACTCTCATTGTCAATTTCTAGATGTATCTCAAGCTATGAGGCAGACTTAACTGTATCTGTTGTATCCGTTATCCCAAGTTCGATGAGATAGATGCGTTCAACTTAGTCTCCAAATTTTGAATTATTTAGTGAGAGAACATCATCTTTATAGCGGAAAGTGAAGTTATTAAAGAATACTGATAATTTCTTTTCTTTCTTCTAAAGAACTTTCTGTATGAAATAAGCTTTATATGAATAAAGAAACAAGTCGGCAAGAGAAGGAGCACATGAGGTTCCCATGGGAATGCCGATTGTGTTTTGAAAAACACGTCCTCAAACCTAACAAATATGTCATCAATCAAGAAATCAAGCATCTTGATAATGTCTGTTTCAGAGAATTCCTTGTTTGAATCAGAGTGATTTTTTTACAAAGTACGATGATTTATTCCTCCCTAAGACAAGATACTTGTTTAAAGGAGTTCTGTGTCTCTGTGAATAAAGCATTATCATTACATTAGTCAGTAATTTTGGGGCTTTTACAAATCGTTCGTTATCTTGTATGTAATTGTGCTGTTAAATTGGTCAAAGGGGGGACAATTCTAATCACACTAGAACCCGCGTATCGGATTTAAGCCTTGATTTTGTAAATTGTCAGTAATAATATTCATGATTGATTACAGTCAGGATTCAACTTTGTCAAAACTATCTCCCCATTACGCCTCCTAATTTTTCAATCGCAAAAATGGAAGTCATTGTAGGGATGACGCGCTGTCAATTCAGCTCTTGAAAACCGATACATTTATCCATAGAATAAAATATAAGTATTGAATATTATTATTTCCCAAATTACAGGGCCCGTAAATTGATTGACATAATTGATAATTACAACAATAAACATCACAGTGTACATGTATATTTAGTATATTAGCATCGGTCAAGAATCAGAGCCATCAACCATATAAATTATGAATGCACAATTAAATAATAAAATTACATTATATGCATTCGTTATAAAATTACTTACTAGTATCAATATTCAGACATGATCTCCTTAATTCAAAACACTCTCCAATATAACAGCCCATTTTTCCATAAGAAATATACTTTCATGTGTCAAGAGCCAATAAATTTCAAAGATTTACTTAAGTTTTTAAAATCATAACAAATGTTCGAAACGTATTGAAAAAAATCTTCTCTTTTGATATCAAATAGTGGACATTCTAATAAAAAATGAAGCTCATCCCCAACTTTACCAAATGAGGAATTTAAACAAAGTCACTCGGATCTATCTATACTTTTTTTTAATTTAAATATCTACCTTAATTCTTAAAGAGTGAGCGCTTATTCTTAATTTACAAATTATCCATCTTTTGTTAAAATCCAGTAGTTCTAAATATTTTTCTTTATTAAAACAATAATTTATAGAAAAATAAGTACCAAGCTTCCCTTTTTCTGAGTTATTTGTTTGATACTTCAGTTTATTCCAAAATGTTAAATATTTTTCACATAGTTTTTTTTTAACATACTTACATAAAGAACCATTTGGTTGGTCAAAATAAAATAATAATTCAGTCCATCTCTGAATGTAATCTATACTAGAGTACCATGTATGAAAATTAGAAATATGTAATTGTTTACAACATATAAATACATCATATAATAATCCTTCTAAATATAGCATCATTACCATTCTTGCATGACAGTTGTATTTTAAAAGACAAATGTATCTACTAGCTATTAAAGCATCATTTAATGTACTTTTATGCCTTTTGTCAACTTAAAACTATTGTCTGATCGATTGTCAGGGTGAATCTTCGAAAGTTTAAAAAGATTAAACAAATTCTAATTAAATATTTCATGGAAGGATAGACTGAACATTTTCAGAGGTTGAAGACGAATTACCCTAGAAAATAAACACAAAAAATAAAAATTGTTTTGTTGAAGTAATGCATTTTTAAGATCCACTTGTAAAGTCTGTCGTCGATGGTTTTCGGTAAAAATTTAAGGGGGTGTTAGTGCACGGTGTGTCCGACTTCTTCTTTTTTTTTTTATTAAATTTCATGAATAAAGTAATCAATATTACTAATTTTGTAACTGAAAAATGAGTGAACGAAAATAAAATGGAATACAAGTAAGAAATACACATCAAATTTTAACATTTGTAGTAGCACGAAGCTTGCTTTATTCATCATTCCCAACTACTCTGTTGTTATGACTCATTAAAAAGGTATTTCACTTGACCCATATACTTCATTTCTTGGAACTGTGAATTTTTAATGTTATATCAACATGTAGCCTAAATATATAAAAATAATTAGATCTGAAGCAGAGATGCAAATGAATGCTTCAAAAAGATCAATCTCTTATCTTTCTGTGGATATTTTGTCATAAGAAGAATTTATGTTAATGCACATTAAAGATCCACATGTATATATATGCACCTACCATCATCGACTGTTTTGTGAAAATTTTTCTTTGATTTAGAAGTTTTAAATATCTCGCAGCTCTTTACTATAATTCAAGTATAAACACGTATATAAGATGCACACAAACAAAGTAATGCACCTACATTAAACTGTTTAAGCCCATAGAATCGAATGTAAATAATTCAAATATATCAATTTTACAATTTTTACAAATTCTAATTTCAACTGCATATCAGCCTATATTTCGTGAGACAGTCAATGCGTTCCCTAATGCATACCCTAAATAGAATACAAAGCGAACATATGGTATATACGATAGAAACAGAAATTAAATTTCATAGATTTTCAAGAAAACCGCGGTTAATAAATAATGCCCATATCGTGTTAACTTGAGGAACACGGGAAAATAAATATTATATTCACACAGCAATATATTTAGCATTTTTAATTACGGCATATGTATAATCTCTCAACGCAAAGTAGTAATATTTATTCGCTTTGTGTTATAATCATCACCTATATCGTTATTTTTACATATACATACATAATAATTACACATTGCTTCACGTTATTCAGCATAAACGGAAAAACACGGATTATAGGCATTTTAAAACAAATGGGTTCCTTCCTTTGGATAGCAAAATAATAAAAAAAAATAAGCACATTATTTTTCTTTTACTATCGATCGTAAACTGATCAAGAATGTTTTACAGTTGTATTTATATTTATATTTTATATACTTAATTTATTGTATCGGGAAAGTGTACAATTGTGTCATTAAGGATACTGTATGTACTATCATTTTTTTGATGGCGTCTTTGTCAGATTTATTTGTATGTTTGATTGAATTTTTAAGTCAGTTCTGTTGTATGTCTATGATGTATATTTACACAGTTTTGGCTGCTGAATCCCAATTATTGTCACGCTAACCAATTATGTCTGTTTGGGCTGCTGATCCAATTTTTGTAAATCTAACGAAACTATAAACAAAGGAACAGTAGTATACCGCTGTTCAAAAGTCATAAATCGATTGAGAGAAAACAAATCCGGGTTACAAACTAAAACCGAGGGAAACACATCTACTATAAGAGGAAAACAACAAAATAACAGAATAACAGAACACAGAAGTGCAACAAAAACAAACAACAATGCAACATTCATAGAAACGAACTATTAAATAACAACTACCATATTCCTGACTTGGTACAGGACATTTTAAGAAAAAATGGTGGATTGAACCTGGTTTTTGGGCTAGCTTTATGACAATGTTAAATATACCGCTAAAATGACAACATTACATGACGGGAACAGAGTACAAATAAATGCAAAAACACCAAAGACAGAGAAATACATAAATAAATAATATAATAGTTCATTTCGACATGTTTAACACAGAATAACAACGAATTACTAAAATAATTTAGGACAGTACACAGAAACAGCTTAATAAAATTACGAAGTGTGTGTCTGGAACACGGATGGATCAACGCCACAAAAAGTAACGTCACAGGTAAATTTCTAAAATTGAATATAAATCAAGATTAGGTTTCTAATTATGTTACTTGATGTATTTTATAACAATTACAAGAATATTAATATAGAATTGTGTTAGTAATAGTGCAACTAACTATGTCGGCCTTTCTTCCAAATCTAACTGTGTAAAACAAATAAATCCTGTGCACATAGTTGCTTTAAACTAAAATCAAACAAATGAACTGGGTGATTAATTATCTTTACTTTTACATACGAATAGAAAATAAAAGATAGACTCACAACTACAAACGATAAGACGCAAAACAATAGCCGATCAGAATTACAAATAAAACTTCGTAACTAAATACATGCACGCTGGA